ACACACAAGTGCAGGCTATGTGAGCAAGAATAAGTCGGCACACAAGTGTGTATGCCAGCAGAACCTACCAAGTGTGGTATGTCTAAGATTTTTCCTTTTTGCTCACCTCTCCTGGAAGGCAGTGTATGGTAAAGTGGTTACTAATTTGATTGGACATGATAATGATAAAACAACACCCTGGGCCTACCAGATTAGAATCTCCAGGGCTGAGACTTATGAATCTGTATTTGGAACAAGGTCCTTGGTGATTCTGGCTTGGGAAACATTCATGTACATTGGACATCTTGACTCTTCCAGTCCTATGTGGACATTGACACCATCAGTGCCTCTTTGGAAGTTCCCTTTGCTTACTCTCTGGCTTGGGAGGACCAATTTTGCCTTCTTGTGTAGACCACTTACCTCACTGCCCTCTTGCCCGTGCTTTCTGCCTCTCTCCTCCCCTCCTTCGCAAAGACTATAGTTAATAGCAGCTGTAGGCCTAACATAGGAAGAGGGGTGCTCTGACAAATTCATAACAGAAGAGTGGGAAGCCAAGAGTTAAGCAAATATTCTGTCTTCCAGATCTCATGAAAATAGGGCTGCCTTTAGGTAGTCCTAAAGTGTGTGACATTGTCTGGTAATTATTTAATTTTCTTTTATTTTGTTGGCTTTCTTGTTTTTGTTTTGAGGGATCTAAAAACTTTATCTAGGTGATGATATTTTATATGTTCTGTTTTCAAATGCTGGGATTCATTCCCCCCCTCTGATTTCTGCCCCAGGCCCTACAAACTACTAATACCCTTTAAATAGAACAAAAATAAACCCAAGAGTGAAAAAGCAGTAGAGACTGACTTGTATTTGCTTTCTACAGATATTCAGATAGGCACTAAAACTCAAACTTTGTGTTAAAACTCATGGCAAATGTGACCCCTTTAATTGCCTGATTCTTCTAATGCTTCATAGGGCAAAAAGATTTTTAAAAAGTACATGGTGTATCAGTCAACGGGCTGAGCTGTTGTTTCTTAAACTGGGATATTACAAGTTAGTCTAAGCAAAAGTCACAACTTGATTGACCAGGATGTGCAGGGATGGGATGGGATCCTGGTGAACTGATGTGAAGCAGATAGTCGATCCATTTGTCTTACCACTTGTTGAAATCTTTCTAAAATCATGTGTTAACCCACATAGCTGTCTTAGGAATGTTAAGGATAGTTTTTAGAGAAAGGTAAAATCATGAGTCTCATACAGATGTAAAAATGAACATGTGTTAAAAATTTTATTTTACTCATTTGTCATCCAGGGAACCAGACAGATGTTCTAGCTGGTTTAGAGAAAAAGTCCAAAAGAACAAATTTATATGGAGTAAAGGAATTGAATTGCAAATGGAGGCAAAACTGGTTTTTCCACAATGGGGAGGGAAGTCAATCCAAACTCTATGGGACAATACAGAGTTTGCATATCCATCAGTTACCTACAATTTATAGAGGTGCAAAACAACTCCAAGACAATGAAGTGTGCTGGAATCAAGCAGCTGCGAACAAAGTGCTATAGGTAACACATAGTGTTTTCACTGAAGTCCAGCCTTCTTTCCTATAGTAAGTAAACACTTTCTGGGGGGTTGATTTTGCTTGTAATTTGTCAAGGTCATCACCTCAATTCTCATCCAGGATTCATGTCCACATAACATTCATTTACTGAAGTACTTAGTATATGTAGGACATTGCAGAGAAACCAGAGACAGAAATGATGGTATTTCTTACCTTAAATAGTTTGATTGGTGGGGGAGACAGACATGCCACACTCTCAACTAACCACACTGAAGAGGAGAGTAAGAATCAGTGCTGTGGGAGAGGTCCGAATGCAACGAATGCAGTGTTTGAGGAGAACCAGAGAGGGAAGAGTTAACTGACCAGGGGCTAGGGCTGTGGAGATGACATGATGACATTTAAGCCAGACTTTGAAGGGTGACACAGAGAGGAGGAAGGGCACAGGAGAGGCCATTGCAGGGTAAAGAAACAGCAAAGTCCTGAAACTGGATGGTCTGTTCAGGGAAGGGTCTGGAGCTGGAACAGGGAGGTGGCGGGTAACATCAGAATGTGGCCGAAGAGGAGACCAGAGGAGGTTTGAGGCCAGGTCTTGGAGGGCCTGGAATGCTGTGCTAAGAAATTTGGGCTTGATTCTGAAGACAGGAAAGCTACTGAAAGCTTTCGAGGAGGTGGGGGTGGGGGCAACATGATCGAACTGGTGCTTTAGAAGATAAATTGATTGTAGAATCAAGAAATTGGAGGCAGAGGGACGGACCAGTTAAGAGGCTATTGTAATATTCTGCGTGAGAGATGATGAGGGCCTGCATCAGGGTGGTGGCAAGAGGGGCAGGAGAGGATGGAGATGGCATTATTAAGGCTTGACTCCTGATTGGCTGTGGGAAGTAGTGGGGGGAGAGAAGGAGTTGAAGACAACACCACTGAAATTTCCAGGCTGGGGGATAGTGGTGCTATTAACTAAGATAGGAAACACACTGGGCATGGAGGAGCAGGAGAGCAGGTTTATGGGAACAGATAATGAGTTTGCTTTGAGACACATTGAGTTTGAGGGGCTTGGTGGACATCCAATTAACAGCGAGTTGCTGGCAGCTGGAAATTCTGGTCCAGGTCTAAGGAGAGAGGTCAGGGATGGAGATACAGATTTGGGAGTCTTTGGTACAGGAAGGGGAGAATTGCAACTGAGGGAGCTTAGGAGCTACAGAGGAGAAGGAGCAGGGTGTGTGCATGCATACACACACACACACACACACACAAACACACACACAAGTGGAGTAGGGGAGAGCCAATGAGAGCCAGACCAAGCTGGAGAGACAGAGATAGAAAGAGGGCAAGAGAGACAGAGGGAGACAGAAAGACAAGAGAGGGACACTGAAAGCTGAGGCGTGGACAAAGAGCAGAGGGGAGGAGGATGCAGGGGGAGGGAGGAAGGGAAGGAGGAGGAGAGGGGGGAGAGAGGGGAGCCTGAGGGAAAATGAGGATGAGGAGAGAAAGGGGGAAAGGACAAGGGCAAGAGAGGAAAGAGAGGAAGGTGGAGGAGTGCAGACTAAACCAAGAGAGATTGGAGAGAGGGGAAGAGGCAGGGAAGAGGGGAAGAGAGAAACAGCTGGGAGAAGAATTGGGGAAGAGGGAGGTGAGGAGGAGTAATAGAGGGGAATAGGAAAGAGAAATTGAAAGGGAATGGGAGAGGGGGGAGAGAGAGAGGGAGAGGAGGAGGGAAGGAGGAGGGTTAGGGAGAAAAAGAGGGAAGGAAGGGGAAGAGATGGGGGCTTGCAGGGGTGAGGAGAGACCAGGAAAGATAAGTGCTAGATTTCTAGTGTAGGTGAAGAGAAGACCCTGGAGAAGCCAGCAGGCACTGTGTCAAGAAAGCCAAGAGAGGGGCAAGTACAAAGAAGGCAAGGGCAGAAGTATCCTGCAACACAGACATGGGGAGGAGGGTGAGCACAGGGAACATAATGGGGGGCTGTGGCTCCACTGTCCTTGTACTGCCTGTCTCCCTTGCTTGGAGCCTCTGCTGTACCAGCCACCGGGCCTGGCTCTTTCTGATCTTATTATGCAGCCTCCTTCTCTAGGACCTTTGCATAGGCTGTTCCCTCTGCCTGGAATGCTCTTCTGCCAGATATCCACACGGCGCACTCCTTTGCTTCCTTCAGGTTGTTTAAACATCTTCTCAGCAAGACCTATGCTCATTACCCACTTACAGACTGTAGCCCATTCTGCCCCCGCCACTGTCGCCATGGTCCTTAGCTGGTGTTATACCACCTTGTAACATAGTATAACAGGAATCATTTCACATGTGTATTGTCCATCTCATCCCACTAGAATACAAGTTCCACGAAGACAGTGATTCTTGGTGTTGTTTGGTAATTGTTGAATCCCCAGTACCAAGGACAGTGCTGGCATAGAGTAGTAGCTCAGTAAATATTTGTTGAATGGATAAGTGCTATTGTGTTGAATGTGGACAGTCTCTGAAAATTATATAAAGAATGAATGAAACAAACCCCTGATGTGACTGTATTTTACTGACTTCTTGGCAAAGTGGAGAATAGCAGAAAATTCTGATCACTAGAGGGTTCTGTTCAGTTGAGCTGTGATAAAAAAGACCTTAGCTAATAAGTTAATTCAAGAGTTTAAGGGTCTTAAGACAAGCTCATTGGGTAAACCTAAACCTCTTTTTCTTGATGCCTTGTTTTCTCTAGAAGGTGAATTGGCTGTGCAGTGGTTGTCAACAGCGACAGCTGGATGTTAGCTGCTGAAGGGGGTGGTAGGTCATGGGGATGACAAGACCAATAGAAAGGGACAAGGACAGAAATGTGTGGTTTTTCATGGACCATTTTTTTGTTTGTTTGTTTGCTTGTTTGTCACCAGAGTACAAGGAGTATTGCATTTGATTTCGAGGGAACTTTAAACCAGCTTAGATATACGTGTTATATCTATATAACTCCCAAGTGGAAATCAGAATAGAGTATTTTTGAAGGGCTTATAAAGAAATTGTGTGCTTCCTCTGGAGAACTTAAATTGGTACGTCACTCAAATACTTCAGTACCCGTGGATTAGAGAGGTTTGAGAAAAAGATCCCCAGTAGTCTTTCAACGCATTGTTCATATATGGGAACAAACCTCTAATTGCAGTTGGTTAGGCTAAATGTGTGTGGAAAAATATACTGTCATCTTGTTTGTCTGGAATAGATTGAATTTCCTCGAACACTCAAGCATATCTGTCTTTAACGTAATTTAAAAATCGCTCTAGGTGATTAACAGCATCTTCATCAGCATCCTGAAACCTATGGATTCCTGGAAAGCTGGGGTGCCCTCATCCCCATTTGGACCTTAATTTTCCATGGCAGGCTGCCTTGTGGGAGAGACTGCTTTAACGTTTTGGTACTATAATTGCCTTCATTTAAATGTTTCCTTATTAAAGGTGGTTAAAAGCAGCTGTCCCTGTTACGAGTTTTGATTTTTCGGAGTTCTTTTTCCCCAGGGGGAGCGGCCACAGCAGGTCCTGTCTGGTGGTGAGTGGCTGTCATGATCTCGACAGCCCCGCTCTACAGCGGCGTGCACAACTGGACCAGTTCTGACCGGATTCGCATGTGTGGCATCAACGAGGAGAGGTGAGGACGTTGGGAAGGTGGCTGTTGCTGGCTTCCAGTGAGTGGTACCTACTCACCAAAGGTGCAGCTGCAGCGGGGCCCGGGGAGGGCCCCTGGGGAAGAGGCTTTGGTTGCTACTTTTCTTGAGATGGGATGGTGCTGGGACTGTGTAAGTGCCCTGCTTTGCCATGCCGTCCCTGTTCAGATGAAGGTGAGGAGGCCAGCAGATGACCTTTGGCCAACTTCGTTAAGAACCGTCAGATTGTGGAGTAAGGGGAAGCTCAAGCGATTGCAATTTTTATTTGCTGCATCCATGTTCAGTGCTCAAGGATACGCATAGGATATTTTTGGTCCTTGATCTAAGCCTGGAAGAAAGGCAGTTTTATTATTCAGCTGTATACTGGAAACTGTTAGTGGGTATTCTGGTGATCAGCGCTTTCCTGCCTCATGAGGCTAATGATGATTCGCAGCGAGATCCTTATGAAGTATCTCAGGAAGATCAAACTGCTTAATGTAGTTGTCATATGAAACGAGAGTTGGTGATATGTGTGTCTTAAATTTTCTGTTCACCAAAATGTTTGGTTGACCAAACTATGCCCTTTCTGATCACTCCCCATAGGAAAGACACTCAAAATGGCCTTCAGATTTTATATTTGACTTTTGGGACCCTAAGCCAAAGAAACAGCCATGTGTGATAGTTGGAGTGCCTCTCTCATTTTTACAAAAGCCATGCTTGCTGGTGTTTAGTTGTTGTTTCAATCCATCAACTGTTCAAATCCAAAAACATCAGAATCAGATCAGTCCTCTAGAATGAAGAATGCTATGGCTTTTACTGGGATTCACATCTGGTGTCTCCTTGGGTAAATCTTGGAAATGTGTGCATGGGTGTGTGTGCATGTGGGGGGATGTTGGTAATTTCGAAGGGTAAAGGAAAGGACGTCTTTGTGTGTATCTTCTTTTTTATTCTGCTCTTGACAGAAGTGTGTACTTGTCTGAGGTTCAGGTTAGGAGAATAGACCTTTTTATTTTTTTTAAAGCCATTAGTGCCTAATAGTTTAATGTTCTCTGTGCTGAGGAACAAGTTAGAGATGGACTTAAAAGGAATTTAATTTTATAATATGAAAGACAGGACTAAGGAAAATAAGACAAAACTCCTCTCAGATCTGCATTAGAAAGATATTTTCTTTTGCATGTGAAGTATGTCCTTAGATAATTACTCAGAGATGAACTGGGGGAAGGAGGGTGGTGGTTTCGATTTGTGTAAGCATTCACTGGCAACTCGTTATAAGTAGTTGAGGCTTGGATGCAGAGATCTGGATTAGAGCCTTTAAAAAATCAGTGGACAAGTTACCTTGCTTCATTGTCCATTCTAAATCCTTGCTGAGAAAGGAACAGGAAGTGAGTCCCAAACCTGACTTTCCCTCTTTATGGACCTTTCTTGGGATGTTAAATTACCAAATATGCCTAGTGGTTAAGATGACCTTTTAAGCATTGTCACTTCTGATCTCATCTACCCTTTATTGTCACCTTCCTCTATACAGTCTAGGCCATGCTGCAGCTGATTTCCAAGATGGGATCCCACCTTATTTAAAAACCATCTTCCTCAGCCCTTTACAACTGGTAGAACTTAGAAATTTCTGGTGTGAAGCTGCACAAGGGGGTTAACTCTTAAAATTGTTTGAGAAACCTGCCTAGCTTCCTCAGGTGCAGTTAAGGACTATAGGAACAGGGGCAGGGTCTTTCTGCGAGCCCCAGATAGCTGACTCTGTTTTCTTGCTTGCTTGCTTCCTTTCTTGTGTCCATTCATTCCTTCATTCAACAAACATTTATTAATTCCAGCAAGAGCAAACCAACAGTCATGGGACACTGATGATGAGTGTTATAGAGTGGCATGTACAGGTCTTGTGGGAGTCTAGATGCAATGGCAGACTTCCTGGGGGAATAAGGGAAGGAAGGAGGGCTTCCCAGAGGCAGTGACATCTGAGTGGGGGCTTGAGGGATGAGTAGGAGTTTGAGGTGAGGGTTGGTATTTCCCACACGATGTGTTTGGAGAAGACCCTGGCTGGAATGAAGGTGGTCTTGGCGTGTGCTGGGACTCAGGCGGGGAAAGTCTGCAGGGGATGGAATCTAAGGAGCCTGATGTGTGTGGTGTGGCCAGGGCCCAATGGGAACTGAAAAAGGTCTGGATGGACAGTGGTGCCAGCCCTTAATAATTAGGAAAACGGCCCTGAAAGGTTATGGCCATTTCTGGTTTAAGTTCAACAAAGCCTTAAGCACAATTGCCCAGGGTCATCTCTGTTGGGAAGAAATGGTGGGCTTTTTTTTCAGTCCTGATTGAAGTCTGCTTTGACCCCTGCCCCCTCCTCCCTGCCGCCTATACCCTCCTAACCTTGCCTGGTTGACCCACTTCTTTTTGTGCACCCCTCCCCTGCAAGCTATTCCTGTCCCAGGCTCTTCTCTCCATGGAGCAATTTAATGTTTGCTTAGCTTTGCATACCCCTCTCCTCTGAGGATTTGAAACGTGGCCACACGACATTTTCCCAGAGCCTCAGGGACTAGCACTCAGGCACGGGTATGGCCGAAGTGGCCAGGACTGCTGCTTCCACTGCTGCTGCCACCTTCAGAGTCTCTGGGCCTGCAGGCTGGCTCTTCTGGTCTCTGGTGGCTGCCTTTGAGGGTGGGGTTCCGGCATTCAAGGTGATTTTATTCAGGGGGGTGGGGGAGCCCAGCAAGGGCAAGGAGTTGGTATACAGCTAGATTCCCTTTCTTTGGTTGGCAGCCCCTGCCAGTGGGCTCCCCAGCCCCTCAGGTGGGGTTGGCAAGAGGAGGGGCACTGCTGTTTGTTTTGCCTTGCCACCGTCCTCCTTCCAAAGCCATGCTGGCCAGTCCAATTGAAACATGTTTCTCCCTGGCCCAAGGCTGGGAGTAGGCCTTGCTTTTCTGGTCTCCCAGGAGCTGATGTCAAAGTATGTTTTCCCTTTCCTCCAGGGCCCCCTTCCTCCCCTTCCTCGAGACCCCTGACTGCATCTCCAGCCCTTGTCTGTCCTTACAGTCATTTCTGTTTGTCACCAGCAGTCTTTGCCAGCAGTGGAACCCTCCCACTTCTGCCAGCCTAGCGGCATTTTAAAGGGACCAGACGGACCTTTCCCCCCTGGTTAGCCCCATCTGGAGCCCTGAAACGATGGGGAGACGCTTATGGTGATCGCCCTTGCCTTTTTAGCCTCTCTTGTCCCAGGTACAATTTTGGAGTTCATCACCAATGCCCGGTTCCAGTGAGAGGAAGGGAGTTAGTAGGACCCTCCCCATTTTTGTGGGGGTTGACTGCAGGCTCTCTGACTGTCCTAGGTTAGGGTGGCTTATGAGGCAGACACTGGCTTCTTCCCGGGCTGTTGCAGAGCTAAGACCCAAGGTGGTCCACCTCCCCAGAGGCACACAGAGCATTCCTGTGCTTTTCCCCTTGGAACTGCACCCCGGCACTTCTGCTGGAGCTTTATTCTTGCACCCAGACCTTCCATTCAGCCACTCACATGGGCTCTTGCCCCATTAGTGTCTTCCCTAGGGTAGAGAGTGAATGTACCCAAAAAACTACATTTCTTTTTTTTTTTTTTTAATATTTTTTATTTATTTCTAGGAGAGAGAGAGAGAGACAGCATAAGCAGGGGAGGGTCAGAGAGAGAGGGAGATACAGACTCTGAAATTGGCTCCAGGCTCTGAGCTGGCAGTCAGCACAGAGCCCGATGCGGGGCTCGAACCCACGAACCGCGAGATCATGACCTAAGCGAAAGTCGGACGCTTAACCGACTAAGCCACCTAGGCACCCCCCAAAAAACTACATTTCTGGTGGGTATTTATCCTCTCTAGAGTCTTTTTAAAAATTTTAAGAGGGAGAGAGAGAAAGAAAGAGAGAGAGAGAGAGAGAGAAGCGCAATCAAGCTTCTTGCTGTCAGTGCAGAGCCCACTGCAGGGCTTGATCTCACAAACTGTGAGATCATGACCTGAGCCGAAATCAAGTCAGATGCTTAACTGACTGAGCCAGCCATGTGCCCCTATTTTCTAAGATTCTTACTCAAAATCTAGAGAAGACTTTTTAAAAAAAATGTTTTACTTATTTCTGAGAGAGAGAGAGAGAGAGAAAGAGCAGAGAGACAGCATGAGCAGGGGAGGGTCAGAAAGAGAGGGAGACAGAATCTGAAACAGGCTCCAGGCTCTGAGCTAGCTGTCAGCACAGAGGCACAGAGCCCAACACAGGGCTTGAACCCACGAACTGCGAGATCATGACCTGAGCTGAAGTCGGACACTTAACCGACTGAGCCACCCAGGCGCCCCTAGAGAAGACTTTTTTAGTAGGTTGGGGTTCAGTTATGTTCTTCTCCTTTGGAACTCAGCTCCCTGGTGTTCAGCCCTTCCCTTTCCAATATACCAACTTGAATTTGGAGTCTGTGGCCTTGCAGGCCTCCCTTTGGGATGGGAGTGGATGAGGGGAGAGTGGGGAGCTGGCAGTCATGGCGTGCAGGCAGGGATAGAAATTTAGGAGGGCAGGCACTGGCTGGAGTTCGGTGGTGCTTTAGAAAAGGAGAAGAGGTGCCCTGGAGGGAAAGAAGTCGTGCCCTTGAAATGCCCCCCAGCACCCAGTGACCTGGTGGCCTCAAATCAGTATCATTATGTGTCCTAATAAACGTGTACCTGCTCTCGGCAACCCCACCGGGTGAATAGGTGATGATTCACATTTAGTACATGACACACAATGGAGGTGGTTATTTGTTTTAGAAAAGGATTACCCTTATGATACCAGCAACCAGCTTCCCTTATAGACTTAAAATAAGAGTGTACTTAAGAGAAAACTCGTTTGCACGCCTTTTGAGATCTTCTGTGATTCACCTCTCCCCCTTTTGGCAATGCCCAGTACATCCTGGACAGTCACTTTGACGTGTAAGCTCCAGGGACAAAGCAAAGGTGCTGGGCTGTCCTCCGCACTCCTGGTGAAAGCCCCAGAAAAAAAAGGATACACAGCCCAAAGAGGGGAGTCCAGTCAGATTGGGCTCCCTTGCAAGAATTTGCAAAGCCGGGCATGGAGACTCTGGCTTATGACTTTGACCCCTCCAGTTCCTTGTGTTGTCCTCCCAGCCACCAAGGGAAGTGGGACAGGAAGGTTTTATGGGAACCCAGGCAGACAGGAGGTGTTCTGCCGAAGGTGGTGGTGGCCCAAAGGCTAGGCCTCATGGCTCTTCTCTGGTTGTGTCTCCCATGCTAGAAGAGCACCTCTTTCTGATGAGGAGTCCACGACAGGTGACTGCCAGCGCTTTGGATCTCAGGAGTTTTGTGTCAGCAGCAGTTTTTCCAAGGTAAGGGGCCATGTGGAGCCACATGTCGCCCGCCAAAGGGTGGAGCCAAACTGCCCGGGCAACGTGCCCAGTCTGCCATCCCAAGAAAGGGGGCAGGAAGGAACAGGGTATTTCCCAGGAGTTGCTGTATGTGAGACAGAAATTGGCCAGCTGCTCTTTGCTTCTGCTGAGACCCGGTTGGTCAAGTTGCAAAGAGGACCAGCAGTCACCTCTCGCGGGCCTTGGGACACTTGCACCATCCACAGCGAGCTAGCTAGCTAAGACGGGCACGCTGCTCTGTCGTTGCAGGTGGAGCTCACAGCAGTTGGAAGTGGCAGCAATGCCCGGGGGGCAGACCCAGATGGCAATGCAGCAGAAAAACTTGGGCACAAGTCAGAAGACAAGCCTGATGACCCTCAGCCAAAAATGGACTATGCTGGGAGCGTGGCGGAGGCCGAGGGCCTGTTAGTGCCACTGAGCAGCCCCGGAGACGGGCTCAAGCTTCCCACTCCCGACAGCGCTGACGCTGCCAGCAGCAGGGCAGACTGCTCTTGGGCTCCCCTCAACACCCAAATGAACAAACAAACAGACTGCTCAGCAGCTGGGGTGAAGGCTTTGGACTCTCGGCACGGTGTTGGGGAGAAGAATACTTTCATTTTGGCAACTCTGGGGACTGGAGTCCCTGTGGAGGGAACCCTGCCTCTGGTCCCCACTAACTTTAGTCCGCTGCCAGCCCCCATTTGCCCCCCAGCTCCCAGTTCGGCTTCCGTCCCCCCATCTGTTCCAGATCCATTCCAGGTTCCCCTCTCCGTCCCCACCCCTGTGCCCCACTCTGGGCTCGTTCCCGTCCAGGTCGCCACCTCGGTTCCAGCCCCATCCCCCCCCTTAGCACCAGTCCCAGCTCTGGCTCAGGCGCCACCGTCAGTGCCCACGCTCATCTCTGATTCGAACCCACTTTCGGTTTCAGCCTCCGTCTTGGTGCCCGTACCAGCTTCTGCTCCCCCCTCAGGTCCAGTCCCCCTGTCGGCTTCAGCCCCTACCCCCCTCTCGGTCCCGGTGTCGGCTCCTCCCTTGGCTCTGATCCAGGCCCCCGTGCCCCCATCCGCCCCAACCCTGGTCCTCACACCTGTCCCCACTCCAGTTCTGGCTCCCATGCCCGCGTCCACACCTCCGGCGGCTCCCGCCCCTCCGTCAGTGCCGATGCCCGCCCCAACCCCATCTTCTGGCCCACCTTCCACCCCCACCCTCATCCCTGCCTTTGCTCCCACGCCGGTGCCCGCGCCCACCCCAGCCCCAATCTTCACTCCGGCCCCCACACCTATGCCGGCCGCCACACCGGCTGCCATTCCCACCTCTGCACCCATCCCAGCCTCCTTTAGTTTGAGCCGAGTATGTTTTCCTGCAGCTCAGGCACCAGCTATGCAAAAAGTACCCCTGTCCTTTCAGCCAGGGACAGTACTGACCCCGAGCCAGCCGCTGGTATATATCCCACCTCCGAGCTGTGGACAGCCGCTCAGTATGGCCACACTGCCAACCACCCTGGGAGTCTCCTCCACTCTCACACTCCCTGTCCTGCCTTCCTACCTTCAGGACAGGTGTCTCCCCGGTGTGCTGGCCTCCCCAGAGCTACGGTCTTACCCATATGCATTTTCTGTTGCCCGGCCTCTGACTTCAGATTCTAAGCTGGTCTCTCTAGAGGTGAACAGGCTTCCCTGTGCTTCCCCGTCCAGCAGCACCAGCACCCAGCCTGCACCTGATGGGGTCCCCGGGCCTTTGGCAGATACTTCCCTGTCTACTACTTCTGCCAAGGTGCTTTCAACCCCACAGCCTTTGCTGCCAGCCCCCAGTGTGAGCTCAGCCCCGCCACACCCTGCCAAGATGCCAGGTGGTGCCGAGCAGCAAACAGAAGGGACTTCCGTCACCTTCTCTCCCCTCAAGTCACCTCCGCAGCTGGAGCGAGAGATGGCGTCTCCACCTGAATGCAGTGAGATGCCCCTCGACCTCTCCTCCAAGTCCAACCGCCAGAAGCTTCCATTGCCGAACCAACGCAAGACACCCCCCATGCCCGTGTTGACCCCTGTGCACACCAGCAGCAAAGCCCTCCTCTCCACAGTCTTGTCTAGGTCTCAGCGCACAACCCAGGCTGCTGGTAGCAATGTCACCTCATGCCTGGGCTCCACTTCCTCTCCCTTCGTCATCTTTCCCGACATCGTGAGGAACGGGGACCCAAGCACCTGGGTGAAGAACTCAACTGCGCTGATCAGCACCATTCCTGGCACTTACGTGGGGGTGGCCAACCCAGTGCCCGCATCCCTGCTGCTGAACAAAGACCCTAACCTGGGCCTCAGCCGAGACCCCCGCCATCTCCCCAAGCAGGAGCCTATCTCCATCATTGATCAAGGAGAGCCCAAGAGCACTGGTGCCCCCTGTGGCAAGAAGGGTAGCCAGGCTGGGACTGAGGGACAGTCAAGCACAGTCAAACGTTACACCCCAGCCCGCATCGCCCCTGGGCTACCGGGGTGCCAAACCAAGGAGCTCTCTCTGTGGAAGCCCACAGGGCCAGCAAATATTTACCCACGGTGTTCAGTTAACGGGAAACCCACCAGCACCCAGGTCCTGCCTGTTGGCTGGTCACCATACCACCAAACGTCTCTGCTTTCCATTGGCATTTCCAGTGCTGGGCAGCTGACCCCCAGTCAGGGGGTGCCCATCAGGCCCACCAGCGTTGTTTCTGAGTTTTCTGGTGTGCCATCTCTCGGCCCCAGTGAAGCTGTGCATGGACTTCCAGAGGGGCAGCCGCGGCCTGGGGGCCCCTTTGCTCCAGAGCAGGACACTGGCACAAAGAACAAAACTTGCCGGATTGCTGCCAAGCCTTATGAAGAACAAGTCAACCCTGTCCTCCTGACTCTCAGCCCTCAGACAGGGACCTTGGCACTGTCTGTCCAGCCTAACAGTGGGGACATAAAAGTGAATCAGGGGCCTGAGGAATCAGAGAGCCACCTCTGCCCTGACAGCACTCCTAAGTTGGAAGGTCCCCAGGGAGCTTGTAGCCTGAAGCTGGCAGGAGACACGAAGCCTAAAAACCAAGTGCTGGCCACCTACATGTCCCACGAGCTTGTCCTGGCCACCCCCCAGAACCTGCACAAGATGCCCGAGCTGCCTTTGCTACCTCACGACAGCCGCCCCAAGGAGCTCATCTTGGATGTGGTCCCGAGCAGCAAGAGGGGCTCTGGCGCAGAGCTCTCACAGCTTGGAAGCCAGGTGGACCTGGGGCGGGTGAAAATGGAGAAGGTGGACGGTGATGTCGTCTTCAACTTAGCCACCTGCTTCCGTGCCGATGGCCTCCCAGCAGCTCCCCAGAGGGGCCAGGCTGAAGTTCGGAATAAGGCCGGGCAGGCTCGAGTGAAACAGGAAAGCGTGGGTGCCTTTGCCTGCAAGAACAAGTGGCAGCCAGACTCGGTGGTGCCCGATGGGGCAACTGAATCTCTGCCGCCCAAGAAGATGAAGTTTGGCAAAGAGAAGGATGCTGAGGAGCAGCAGCCACAAGCCAAGATCATAGTCCGGAGTTCCCATGGACCCAAGGTGAGTGCTGGGCTGAGGTCGAGGGCAGGGCTGGGACACCAGAGGTCTACTTTGTCCTGCAGATGTCAGCCTCCCATGGCAGTATTCTTGAGTAGCTCTGTGAACTGAACTGATTGGAAGACGTGTAAAGTGAATAATGACCTGCTGTCCCTTTCTAAGCCACATTTTCCATATATGGTCTTTTAGTGTCACGAGGGGCTTGTATTTTATAGGATGTGGGAAATGATTTTGTCCCTGAGGCCAGGGAAGCCATTGTCCCACACGACGTTGGAGAGCCAGAAGGGATTGATGAGGGAAATCAATTGATAACAGGCTTTTCCCACATGACCATTCTTCCTTTTTCTTTTCTGAGATGACTGCTGGCCTTGAGAACTTGGGATTCTCAAGGGGAGGGAAGGGGCCTTGTACAGGGCTGTCCTCTGCACCACTGGGGGTGCCTGCTTAGAATAGGCTGGGAGTTTTGTGGGGCTGGAGCCAATTCTGCTTCTGGGCTCATTTGCCAGTTTCCTACCCGCCCAGTGCTTGGTGGGAGGAGCAGCTTCAGGTTTCAGCCCATTGCGAATGCGGTTTGTAAGGCAGATGGGTGTCTGCATCTGGGTTCTTAATGGTGGCAGCGTTCTAGGCAAAAAGATGGGCCAAGAGGATTCAGTTTCGATCCAGTGGTACCCCAGAGGGGACCCAAAGGCTGCTGGTGATCCAAGAAAATTCTTGAAGCACTTGAAGATAGGGCTTGTCAAAAATATGGAGCAATTTAGGGGTGCCTGACTGGCTCAGTCAGAAGACCATGTGACTCTTGATCTTGGGGTCTGGAGTTCGAGCCCCACATTGGAGGTACAGATTATTTAAATAAATAAAACTTTTTTAAAAAAATAAGCAGTGATTTCAAGTTATGTTAAGAAGCCTTCAAATTGAATGTTGATACACACTAATGAACAGATATCTAGCCAGAGTGCCATGAATTTGGGTTTGTGGCAGAAACTCTTAGTCTTTTTTGGACTGTAAAGCATTTTGAGAAGCTTGTAAGACCCTGTCCACAGAAACAAGACCTCAGAATTGTGCCAATAATTTCAAGGAGTTCTTGGGCCCACCCCCTCCACAAAGCCAGCCCATGGACTCTGAATTAAGAACCCCAGGGATAGAGCTTGAGTGGGTTTTCTCAGTGACCACCTCTGTATGGCAGACATGCCAAGTAGGAACACAGGTCATGACATAGTAGAGCATATGTATAGCATTTACTCAAGTAGCTGTGATTAGTTCTTGGTAGTAATAAGGATAATAATTCAGGGGCACCTAGGTTGCTTAGTTGGTTAAGCGTCCGACTCTTGATTTTGGCTCAGGTCATGATCTTACAGTTTGTGAGATCGAGGCCCATGTCGAGCTCCACCCTGACAGTGCAGATCCTGCTTGGGATTCTTCCTCTCCCTTTTTCTCTGCCCCTCCCCTGTTCATGCGTGTGAGCTTGCATGCCCCCCCTGCCCTCTCTCTCTCAAAGTAAATAAATAAGCTTTAAAAAAAAGAACAGTAGGGGCACCTGGGTGGCTTAGTCGGTTAAACGTCCAACTTCAGCTCAGGTCATGATCTCACGGTTCATGAGTTCCAGCCCTGCATTGGGCTCTGTGCTGATACCTCAAGAGTCTGGAGCATCCTTCAGGTTCTGTGTCTCCCTCTTTCTCTGCCTCTCCCCCACTCACACCCTGTCTGTCTCTCTCTCTCTCTCTCTCAAAAATAAACAAATATTAAAAAATATTTATAAAAGAACAGTAATTCTTGTCATTATATGTATTATTGATATATATGTATATGTATATATATGAATATATATGTATATATGTATATGAATATATATGTGTATATCTATCTATCTATATATATATACAATATACTGAATGCTTTCTACAAATATCATCTAACTTAATCCTTACAATAACTCTATGAGGTGAATGCTATACCCAATTTAGAGACAGGAAAATGAAGGAAACACACTGAATGGGTAAGTTACTCAAAGTGAAACAGCTACTGAGTGGCAGAGCTAGAACTCAAACTCCAGTCATTGGCTCCAAAGTTCATGTTCATCTTCAGCTTTGCCACACTATCTTCTCTCCTTACGTATAGCTGTTTCACTAGCCACTGGCAAGTGTTTGTTGAGTGATTGCTACATGCCAGTCCCTCCCAGGCAGTGCGATACATCTTCAGGAGGGCGGCACAGTGTTTTGGTGAGGAGTATACTTTCTGGAGCCAAGCACAGTGCCCAAGTTTAAATCTTGGTCCTACTTTTCCCTAACTGTGTGGTTTTGGTTTAATGACTTAATCTCTCTGGCCCTCAGTTTCTTCATCTGTACAATGAGACAGTAATAGTGCCTCCTCATAGGGCTGTGTAAAGATTAAATGAGATGATGTTCTGAAATATCCAGAATAAGCAAATTGATAAGGGCATAAAGTAGAATAGTGGTTGCCTAAGTTTGGAGGAGACAGGGAAATGGGTATGGGGTTTCCATTTGGGGTAATGAAAAAGCTCTGGAACTAGATGATGGTTACACGACTCTGTGACTACTAAAAACCATTGAATTGTAAACTTAAGCAAATGAATTGTATGGTATATCTGAATAAATTACCTATCAATAACGTTGTTTAAAAAAAGGGTAAATGAGGTGACATATATGAATGCTTAGAACAGTGCCTGGCACATAGTAAGTGTTCAGTAAGTGTTTGTGGATGCTGTTGTTGTTGTTAGTATTGCCAACAAAATAGATGCAGTCCCTGCTCTCATGGAGCTTATGTCTTGCAGGAACTGTGATGACAGGCTGGCACTGCCCCCTATTATATTAGATGAACAGTTCATTGCACCCACTGACAGATACCCAGGTCAGAGAATAAAGTTACAAGATCAGGGGCCTTGCAGCATCCCTTAGCAGCTTCCTATAATGATTTACTAAATATCCATTTTAAGGGGAGACTAAGTAACTCAGATCTCTATTTTCTTGTCTTCCATTTTCCTGAGAAGGAAATTGTTGATAAACAAAGTAAGATCAGGGCTTCATTCAAAACAGCCCCTGTCAGGGTATGGCCAAGAATCAGAATAGTCTCCTGTCTCCTATACCACCTGCCCCAAGGCCTCATGGAATTCTGAAGGGCTGGTTGAATCATCAGCAAAGGAAGAGTTATGCTTCATCTGGTGCTGCGTGTGTTTTATTGTCTTGTCATCCTTTGGAAAATTCTTTGGAAAACCTTTCAAAACTCTGTTAACCAGAACATTCATCTTACATGGTTTCCCCAACCACCCAACTTTTTGCCTAAGTTGGAGCATGCAATATATTTTTACTCTCAGTGCTGCCCTTGCAGAACCTACAGACAGAAATCCATTCTAGATGTTCTGTTTTACTTGTTTTTGTCTGTCTTAGGGAATAAAAGTTAATGATCTGCACTTGAAAGAGCCAGCTAAAAATGATATTCAGAAATAAATAGGACATGTTCAGATTTATATGCATTTAACTTTATTCCCCCAACTTAAAGTGGTCTTTCTCTGGCCATTCCTGAAGGTGCGATTTTAAGCCAACAGTTCCCCATCTTTCTCTTTCCTCCTCCCCATCTTTTCTCTTTCTTTGTCCTAACACTTTGGTGTGTAGGAAGTAGCAGCGAGCAAAAGGGGGGAACTAAAACTTGAATGTTTAGCTCAGCCCTCTGCTAAGTAAGAAGCAGGAGTAGTTCACAGGATAGTAGGAGTCCCTGGAATTTGGTGGGGAATGGTGACTCCCTGACCCTGGAGAATTGAGACGCCCCCACCCAACACCCCAGAAAATGTTCTATTGATAAGACATCTACCATCCCCATAGCTGGAGCTAGACAGTAATAACCTTTTAGAAGGTGGCATGTGAGTCTGCTTAGGGGAAAGACTACTCTTCCTTTCTTCCTAGGGCCTGCTTTCATTGTTTCAATGTTTTGCTTATTCTGCACGCCCTGGATGCTAGAATACTAGAAATCCCTACCTTGCCCTATTTCTTGTTTGGTGGCATGGAGAGACCTCGAAGCTTGTGAGGATATGTGGCTGTTAGGCTGAGAGAGTTCTTGCGCTGTGTAAGCACATCCATTGTGCCTATCCAAGAGAGTGGGCTGAGCAGAAACAGTGGAGGACATGAGCAGGGAAGGAGAAGAGCGAGAGCTGCTGTGGAGAGGCCCAGGTGGGAGCCAGGAGCCCTAGGCCCCAGTCCCATTTCCACCAACTTTCTCACTGCAGACACAAATGAGCTAATTTTTTTTTTTTAGACTTTTTCACACTTATTTTTTTTAAAAATGTTTATTCTATTTTTTTTTTTACAAATAGTTTATTGTCAAATTAGTGTCCACATAACACTCAGTGCTCATCCCCACAAGTGTCCTCCTCCATGCCCATCCCCCCCTCCCCCCCACATCCATCAGTCCTCAGTTTTTGTCAGCATTCAAGAGTCTCTCATGGTTTGCCTCTCTCCCTTTCCCCCACCATTTCTGCCCTTCTTCTCCCCCTTGTTCCTCCGTCAAGTTCCTCCTAATCCTCCTATATGTGCAAACATGTGATATTTGTCCTTCTCTGCCTGACTTATTTTCGCTAAGCATAATACCTTCAAGGTCCATCCATGTTGCTACACATGGCCAGATTTCATTGTTTCTCATTGCCATGCAGTATTCCATGGTATAGATAAACCCCATCTTTTTGATCCATTCGTCCGATGATGGACACTTAGGCTCTTTCCATGTTTTAGCTATTGTAGAGAGTGCTGCTATGAACATTGGGGTACATGTGCTCCTATGCCTCAGCATTTCTGTATCCCTTGGGTAAATTCCTAGCAGTGCTATTGCTGGGTCATAGGGGAGTTCTACTGTTAGTTTCCTTAGAAACCTCCACACTGTTTTCCAGAGGGGTTGTACCAGTTTACATTCCCACCAACAGTGTAGGAGGGTGCCCGTTTCTCCACATCCTCGCCAGCATCTCGAGTTCTCTGATTTGCTCAACAAATGAGCTAATTTGTAGATTTGCCTGGTACGTGGCAGTCACACATGGGGCTGTGTGTTGCCCTGGACAAATTTGTGTAACATCTTTGTCTTGGAGCCTCAGTTTCCTTGTCTGTTCAATGGGGATGATAATAGCTTCTCCTTTTGGGGTTATCAGGAAGATCAGATCAAATAACAGAGAAGAGAACATTTTGAGATGTTGACAGTGCTGCGGCACGTAAAGTAACATTATTAATAATACCTCGGCCTTTTCATTGTCTTTCGTCAAGTATGGGGAGATTTGAATTGCTCCTTTATCATGCCTTTCTTCTCACCTTCATTGAGTCTATTTTCTGGTATTAAATTACACATGGAAATAGACTGTTTTTCTTCAGTTGGCCTGGACTAAGAATTGTTTTCAATTGGTGATAGTACCATTCTCAGTGAAGTTATTTGAGCAATGTAGTCAGTCACCCATCTTGCTAAAGAGGCATTTTTGTTTTCTGCCCATCTCTATTGCTGTTTGCATGGACCTCACCTTCTGGCACCTTTGAAACTGACTTCAGGTGTTCACGGTGCTTATGAATGCAGACTCTGTAGACCTGTAAATACGATGGGGTGTGGATATCTATAGGGATTAGCTAAGCCACTGAATTCAGTCCGGAAAAGCCTCTGTAGCCCAGTGTGGAAGGCAGCAGGTGGCCCCTTCCCCTTGCTCCCACCTGGGCAGCTCATGTCCACGTGTCCAGTGGGGGACCAGACTTCCCATTGGGAAGGCTTTCTTAAGAAGCAACACTGACCTCAGACCTAACTCTCTCTGCCTTTCCACAGTGCCGGAAGCCACCTAGTGACCCCCAGGAACCCACCAAGAAGAGCCCCAGGGGGGCTTCAGATTCAGGAAAAGAGCACAATAGAGTCAGGGTAAAGCACAAGCACCGGAAGCCAACAAAGCCGGATTCCCAGTCTCCAGGAAAACGAGCTGATGGCCACGAGGAAGGTAGGCTCCACAGGTCCTGGCCCCCCCTGGGCTGAGCTGCAGAGGGCTCCCTGGGGGCAGGTTAGTGGTTGGGGGTGGATAGCTCTGGACTGCCCAGAAAAGTCCAGAGAAAGACTCCCTCACTATGGAAGGGAGTTGTAATTTATACCTCTGAAATCAGAAGGAAGGGCAAAGGGAGAAGGGGCTTATTCTCTTCCCCCTGGTCACTAGAATAAGGTACACTCTGAGGACCAAAGAAAGTGGTTTTCAGACAGACAAAAGTCAGTCCTACAACAGAGTAGCCAACCCATTACCCTGCAACGGGTCTAAGGTTAGAGAAGAAACAGGCTTCATGAAGACTGAGACTGAAACAGCAGGGGGGAGGTTCATTACACCTTTTTCTCTATCTTTGGTATATTTGAAAACTCCCATTATAAAAATTTAAAAATTAATACCTAGCTAACTAGCCATAAGGGAAATCCTAAACCCTTTACTTAGGGACACACAGTATGTTTGGAGTAGGGAAGTATGTACTTGACCTGTACGCTCTGTCACTCCTAGTTCCTTGGTGCCCTCATCAGAGAGAGCTGCCCAGGCAGTGCCGCAGACAGTAGCCTGTTTTCATGGCCTTGCCTGTCTGACATGACCCGCCTCTTCCTACTCTGTTCTTATATGGGAGTGTTCCCTTGTCCACTGCTCCCTGCTCCCATCTTCCTGCTTCGCTCAGTTCTCTAAGATCCGTTGAGGTTGCCCTTCTCTGGGACCTGCTCCAGCTCACTTATAACTTGGTGGAGGTGCAGAAGCCCCGTAGTCATGCAGGCAGCCAGGCCTTCAACTTTTCTGGCATGCTGGCAAATCGATTCTGTACACAGCCTTTTTTGGAGTCAGCAAAAATGACCCAACTCCCAGTTTTCAGAAACCACCGGGCAGTGCTCCTTCTCTAAGAGATGCATGTAGGTGATAGCACAAAGAGAGCTAACAGATGCGACCTGGGGAAAACACAAGACCCGCTCCCCCTTGATGTTTCCATCTGAGGCCCTCAGGGTGCTTTCAGTCCTTTGACTCTGATTGTGATATTTCTACCTTCTGCCCTGCAACCACACATTGCTCAGGTTCCTTGGAGAAGAAAGCAAAGAGCAGTTTCCGTGACTTCATCCCTGTGGTTCTGAGCACGCGGACGCGCAGTCAGTCTGGTGAGTGAGTGAGTCTGAAGCCGTGGCCCATCTTGGCACTTCTCTGCAAAGAGAGATAGAAATCTGGTGGAGTCATTTCACCACTAGTCCAGGTGGAGAGTTGGGAATCTGGTTCACTGTGCTAAGATGCCCTGCTCCTTGCAGAGACAAGAGAGCCCAGGGTGGGGAGAGGGTGCATTGCCCGCAATTTTAGGACTGTTTGCTTAGCTCTTCCTAACAGGGATTTGACATCTCTTGTTGGCAGCCGATGGTGGAAAGAGGAAAGGCCTGTGCCGCTCAGGAAAATTGACCCGCTCCACACTTGGGCCTCTCATGATTATTGGAGCCAGTCTCAGGCACGGACATATAACCTTTGGGTTTATTGCCCTATGTGACAGGCGTCAACAAAATTGGAAATGGTCGTTGAGTTATCAGAACCAGTAGAATCACATTTGGTCCCCTGAATTTGTATTCAGTGTCTAAAAGAAGATAGCTGCTCCCAGCTACCACTATTGTCTGCTAGCCTCCATGTTAGTTCATAGCCCTGGAAGTGGTTGCCCTGGTTCACCCATATTTCCATGCAAAGTGGATAGAATGGGGAAGCAGGGCACAGTGTAAACTCATCTATCTGACATTCTATTAACTGGCACTCAGCACATGGAGAATGCAGTGATAATTGGAGCTCATAATGACGACCTGGAGGCCTCGCAAAATCCTGAAGTGTCTTCTGAATCATCAAAGAGTGATTACATTATGCCCAGTCCCGTTTTACTGTTAAACACATTGTACTGTATTTGATTCTTTGGAAATTGGTGATCCCTGTGTGATCTCTATGGTGATTCCATATTAACCAGAATATTAGATTAACCAGAACACTTCGTTCCCTGCCTGGTCTGTATATGGAAAGTTTGCTGGATATTTGCTGTCTTTGAGTGGTCTGACTGACTTGAAGCTTTGGTTGAGGGATGTTCTCTTTGCCTCGAACCATTTCTTTCTTCTGCTGACCTCACTTGTGTTTGGGGATTGTCAAGTTAATAGTGAGTCCTTGGGAGAAAGATGGTGGTGTCTCAGAGCTGCTTCTAAAGAAGACTGTCAGATCTGCAGTTGTGCTAAAACCAGGCCAATTTAGGGTTGTACTTTTGTTGTTAGCAGAGTTGAAGGAAGGGGTGTGGATGAAAATGGCCTCTCGGCCAGGGGGTGGGGGAAGGCAGGAAAGGTACCCTCATGCTGGGGTTGTCTGGGAGGAGGGGGATGTGCCTGCCCAATGGTGAGGAACAGCTGCAGAAGGGAGGAGGGGGGGCAGGGAGAGAGCTCCACCCCTGGACTCTTGGCCACTCAATAGGAGGTGGGGTCAATGTAAGGGAAGAGGGCCTGGTAGAGGAGCATCTGGGTGGGACTAACTCAGGCTGTGTCACAGGAAAGGACTCCTTGCTTTGCTTTTCCTGAGACTCTTCTTTTGTGACGATTCTGCTTGTCCAGGGTGGCTTTGTCAGAGAGATTGGTGGTCACTTAGTGGGCAGGGGTGGGGGTGCCATGCCGATCTGCCCTCCCTTACCCGCCACTGAACCCTAATTTCCCAAAGGGCAGAGACCTGTGGCCCCCACCTGTACCTCACATAATGCTTGGCGTCTTGTAAGCACTAAGAGTTTGTGCATTGAATTAAAGTCACAGCAACATGGATGAGGAAGGGCATATGTTTTGGATACTCGATATTTGTGTGGTATATTGAACTCTGTAAAGTGCTTATGGGCAAATTATCTCATTTGAGCCTCAAAACAGTCCTTTGAGGCCAGTAAGGCAGAGAACAGTGTCCCCGTTTTAATAGAGGAGGAAACAGAAGTGAAGGAACTTTCCCAGAGCACACAGCTAATAACTGGCAGAGCCTGAACTTGAACTCAGACCTTCAAGCTTCTAATCCAGGGCACTTGCTTCGACACCGTACTCTTTGTCCTTTGAAGAGGTACCTGACCGTCCTCTGTACATCCCGTCCACAGGAAGCATCTGTAGCTCCTTTGCTGGTATGGCAGACAGTGACATGGGAAGCCAGGAAGTCTTCCCCACAGAGGAGGAAGAAGATGTGACCCCCACCCCAGCTAAGCGTCGAAAGGTGAGAAAGACCCAACGGGACACTCAGTATCGCAGCCACCATGCCCAGGACAAGACTCTCCTGAGCCAGGGCCGCCGGCACCTGTGGCGAGCCCGAGAAATGCCCTGGAGGACAGAGGCTGCCCGGCAAATGTGGGACACCAATGAGGAGGAGGAGGAAGATGAGGAGGAAGGCCTGGTGAAGAGGAAGAAGAGGAGACGACAAAAGAGCCGAAAATATCAGACTGGGGAGTACCTGACAGAGCAAGAAGAAGAGCAGCGGCGGAAAGGGAGAGCAGGTAAGGCTGGCTGGGGGCTGCTGCCCCAGTGAGCTGCTGTCACTCGTCCCCAAACCACAGTGACTCTGGCTTCTGGGGACCCTCGGGCATCCTGGGTGTTCTCACCTCTGCCTTCTCTTCGCCAGCCAAAAGTCTCTGCACCCCTAGAAACCTGGTGCTATGAGCTCCAGCTGCCAGAGGTGGTCACTCAACTCCAGTCCCCAGGTTTTGGCTTGGGGTTGAGATTGAATGAGTTTGGACTGACCTGCAGGTGAGCAGAGGGCATGAAGGCCCGAGCCCTCCAATTTCGTGTAAAAGTCTGAACCTGTGAACAAGGCCACGGTGGCATCCTTGGCATGGGACAAGTTGATACCAGGGAGTTCCCTGGTTGGCTTGAGGGAGCTGGGTCTTGGGAGGCTGGGTTCTCTGTCCTAGAATCCTGGGTTCAAGAAGAAAGAGGCATTCATTGGCTGCCTTTCCTGGGATACCTTCAGCCCCTTCACTAAAAAGAAGTACAAAGTTTCCTCAACTTAACAGAAGAACTTCAAGTAGAAGCGGGCACATTACTTTCTCAATTAAAGCTACAAAGGTTATTAAGAGGCAGAGTGAAGCTTTGAGGTGACCCGAGGTGGCATCATTTTTGTTGGACCTGAGTTGGAAAAGCAGGCAGCCCAAGGAGAAAACCAGGCTCTCTTTGCCTACGTCACATACCATAATATGCAATCATGGACTGTCACCAAGGCTAATATCAGTATGTTCTGCTAAGTACTGTTCGGACTCATTTCTTTCTTTCTTTTTTTTTTTTTTTTTTTTGGTCGGTGGGGTGGGCCCATTTCTGTAGTGGATTTCCAGATGAGCAAGAAGTGTATCTCTGGGTTCCATAAGAGCATGTCTGTCTCTCACTGTCTTTCTCTGACTTCTGCCCTTGAAGCAACAACTGATTGTCTCTGATAAGGTATTTATCCTGAGCTAATGGGAAACATCTACATTCTCCCTGTTAGTGAGCACTGAATACCTGCCTTCTGAGGAGGCAGTAGATTCTGGATTTACTGTCATGCAAAGGAGGCCAGCCGTCATTTCCGGCTCTGTTTAAGCAGAGATATATATGGTACCATTCCTATGCTTCAGAGAGCAATTGAGCTAATTTTCCTCAACTGTGTGAGAGAGCGGGGATAATTTTCCCTTTTTCCTGCCAGAGCCATAAGGGATTGATCAAGAAAGAGGTGTCAAGCTGTTGGTCTCAGCTGCTTGTGTTAGGATGAAGAAGAGCTTTAGTATCACCCAGTCTTTTCTAATGAGAGCTGGTTTCCTAGAAGATTGGGCAGTACTTATGGAACCTACTGCCTTTGGAATCAGAAGAACCTTCAAGGCGACCTGGTCCTGTTTTCCACCCAAAGCAGAGATCTCTACAGCACTGTGGACAATAGCCTTTACTTAAACACCTCCAGGAGTATGGAGAACACCACTTAGCAATACATCTTATTTGATTTGGGGGAAGCTTTAGTTGTTGGAAAGTAGGTCATTCTCCCTCCGTGTGTGTGTCTAACGGTGTTGAATCGAGGCTCTTGGCTTTGGCATACAGTTTGGATACCTTCTTCCAGATCTAATGGTGACCTCTTCAGGAAGGGATTGCCTGGCAAATGTCTCTTCTCCAGAAAGCTCTGATCCCTCCTAGTACTACCTATCTTTCAGGTTGACATCATGGAGTCAGGCAGAAGCCAAACTAGACAGGTCACCTTACTTCTGTCTGAGTGTCATGACCTTCCCTTTTGTTCTGGACTTGGGTATCTCCCATCTTGACCTGCAGAGGAGATAGGAAGAGCCACTTCCACTCACACACCTGCTACTTCCACTCTGTTTCTTTCCTGCTACTGTGAAGTTCTTGCTCCACTACAATTTATTCAACTCCAGAACCCTCCCTGCCCTGGGTAAATGGGTTAAGGGGCTGCTGCTTTCCTGTGGCAGTGAATGCTGTAATACGGCTTCCCCATGTTTGCTGAGGTCCTCCCTCATAAGGCACCATTCTGTTCCTTCCTCTTTTGCCTCAGCCCGGGCTTGTTGCATCAAAAGTCCTGGTTTAGAATGTTCTGGTTAGAATTGCTGTTAGAAGCTATCTAACACCATAGTTCATGGATAGGTGTGGGGACCCACTGGTGGGTCAGGGCTAGTTGGGAGAAGGGGGTTGCATGATAGCTGGCCTACGAGCTGTGTGTAACCTGTAGCCAGTTCCTCATACTCTAGTGATGGCTCCCACATCTGGATTTGCCCTTGGTAATGTCACATGTGAGAGCACATGCCAAGGTCAAGGGAGGTGAGTTAGAACTCTTGGATCTTGCTCAACCCCCTTGTTTTCACAAATTGGAGAAACTGAGGCTGCAGCTATTTGTTTCCAGACATACTGATCTTCTGTCGTGTACTGGACATGGTGGTCAGTCCTGTGGGGGAAGTAAAGAACACATGGGCATGGCCCTCCCTAAAAAGCTTGCGATGAAATAATGTGGTAAGGATGCCTCACTCTTTATAATACCTTTTAAAGGGGTTTTGTGTATGTTACTTCATCTAATTTTCCCACCGGTCCTCTGATGTGGATTATATTCGGACATTGAAACTGAGGCTCTGGGAGATTGTGACTTGCCTCCAGCCAATTATACAGCTAGTGGTCAAGCCCTACAGACCCTACAAGTCTGTCCTAATGCTCATGTGTAGGGGGGATAGATTGGGTCTACCCTTACCTCTTAACTAATATTACTGTTATGTGCCTCTCAGGGATTGGTGCTCTAGATTTGGAAAGAACTGTCAAAATCACAACCACACTTTTCTTTAATGTTTATTCATCTTTGGAAGAGAGGGAGGAAGACTGAGTAGGGAAGGGGCAGAGAGACAGAAAACAGAGGATCTGAAGTGGTCTCTGAGAGCAAAAAGCCCAATGTGGGCTCAAACTCATGAATCCCAAGATTATGATCTGAGTGGAAGTTGGACGCTTGACTGACTGAGCCATCCAGGTGCCCCACAACACTGCTTGAAGCAAGGAAGTACTTCGTCTAGTGAGCTGTGGCTAGAATTAGAGATGGCGCCCAGTGTATTCCAGTGACTTGCGACTGCCCACCAGCTAAGTAGGCCTGCGGCACCTTCTGGTTTCAGGGAGTTTCTGTGGCTTTGATATTTGTGTCCTCAGAGAGTGACCAACCAGGCTGTCAGGTGGGTGAGCTGAGGCTATGAAGGAAGACATCTCTGGTTACTCCCCACCCGGGTGTGCTTCATACTTTGGTGAAGCAGAGCCACTAAATTTGCTTTCATAATGGAATGGAGAAAGAGACAAAGAGTATGGGGGAAAAGCTGAAAAGAAAGTTGTGACTTGCTCTGGGCTATGGGGGAAATCGTTTAAAACTACCCTCATCTTCGGTACAGCCAGATGGGCCGCCCCCTGCTGGCAGGTTTGGGAGTCATCAGCTGCTTGGAGTGGAGGGACTTTGATGTTGAAGTATGGTGTCCATTTGAGAAGCATTTAGTGGAATCATCAGCACCACACTATCACATACTGGTAGCTGATAGTTACACAACTTTGCACTGAGATTCTAATCCCCAAAGCTTCTGATTCATCTTAGAGGAAGGCATCGCTTTTCTGTGTTCCATTTCCCTGACATCCATTCTTTCCTGTTTCTTGCCTTCAGATTTAAAGGCCCGCAAGCAGAAGACTTCCTCCCAAAGTTCGGAGCACCGCCTCAGAAACAGAAACCTTCTTTTGCCCAGCAAAGCCCAGGGGATCTCGGATTCACCAAATGGTTTCCTCCCGAATAATCTGGAGGAGCCAGCCTGCCTTGAAAGTTCAGAAAAGCCATCAGGAAAACGAAAGTGCAAGACCAAGCACATGGCAAATGTCTCAGAAGAGGCAAAGGTACGTTGCCAGTGAGGGAAGTTGGGGTGAGGGGAGCAGGCTAGGGCCTCAGGCTTTCCACAAGCTCCTTGATGAATGGTCCTCTGAGTGAGTGACTGGATGGAAAGGACCAAATTAACCCATATTTATTCCAGTATTTTGAGCTAGTCCTAGAAAAATTGGGGGTTGCATTTGAAAAATGGAAACTAAAGTTATAGCTAACAATAAGAGTCTGTAAACTCTCAGGTTTGGCTCATGATGGCTTTTCTTCAACAATCTTTGGATCTCCTTTGAGTTAAGGAAGAGTTGAAGAATATGGCAGGATGTTAGCCTGAATAGCTTGTTAATATCCAATCAAGAAGCTTTTGTCTGGGCTTAACTCACTTGAAACCAATCAGAGAGCTTTCTGAATCAATCAAGGTAGAAAACAGCTTGTAGAAGCAAGGATGTTGATGTCCAGACAAAGGTTGCTTGGGGGTTGGGCTGAAGGAGCTCTAGCTGCCCTTCCCCACACCCAACTCTCCAGTTCCTTTGCTTCTTGGCCCCTCACCAATCAGTAGCCAGGCCAGCATTCTAGAACCCCTATTCATAGTTGACATCTTTTTTTGGTCTGATGTTCACAACATTGGTTTTAAGTTCCACATTGTACCATTCGAAGAAAAACCACGTGGTCCTCAGTCTTCCATGAGCTTTACATTTGAGAGAAGTGAATGGGGTGCCTGCGTGGCTCAGTCGGTTAAGCGACTGACTTTGGCTCAGGTCATGATCTCACAGTTCGTGGGTTTAAGTCCCGCGTCGGGCTCTGTGCTGACAGCTGGCTCAGAGCCTGGAGCCTGTTTCAGATTCTGTCTGTATCTCCTTCTCTCTCTGAACCTCCCCTGCTCACGCTGTCTCTCTCTCTCTCTCTCTCTCGCTCTCTCGCTCTCTCTCAGAAATAAATAAAACATTAAAATTTTTTAAAAAAAGAAGTGAAGGTCCAGGTTCAAACGTATAACCATTATATATATTTGTCATCGGCAACCAAAAAAGGGTCATATTGGGTTTGTTTGGTGGTTGTAACTTTAACAGCTCTTTCCAGCTCCAGAGCAGGGATCCCTGAGTGGCACTGGCAAAAGGCAGGAGACTCAGGGGCTCATCTCCCCCTCCTTCCCCTGTCCCCCTCCCTCTCCTGGAATCTGGTTCCAGCTTAGACAAGGTACTCAAGCCTATTTCCTCATCTTTAAAAATGGAGATGATACTCCATGTCCTTTCCATCTCACAAGGGTGCTTGGGGAACAAAAGGAGGCAATGGATGTAAAAGGCTTTGATAACCGTAAAGTGCTCTTTGAGGTTGGTGTGCATCCTCAAGCTTCAGGTTGAGGCAGGGATGAGAGACCAGAGGCACAGAGTGGCAAGGTAGCAGTGACCATTCCCTCAGACCCCCAGAAGGGCGGGGTGGGGGAAGGAATAAAGAAGTCTGGTCTGTGCTGAGTGTTTCCGTTCACATGGTTGTTCTTAATTCCCACAGTGGCTGTAGTCACTGTTGTCCTCATTTTTTGGTGAGGACACCAAGGCTCAGGGAGGTTAGGGGACTTTCAGGAGGTTACTCAGTGGTCACGAGTGACAAAGTTGGGACATGAAGCAGGCCTGACTGCCGCAGCTCTTTCCACATGCCTCTACCCTGTGAATGGGTAGCTTCAGTCTGTACCTGGGAGACACCAGGGGAGGGTGTGGCCAGGCAGGGATACACGGCAACCCTGAGCAACTCTGCTGAAAGGTGGGTATCCCCTTCCTCTTCCCTGCTCCTCCCCAGACACTCAGATGGCCCTGTCCCACACAAAGGTGACCAGCCGCCTGACGTTCAGCAGCACACGCTGATAGTTGTGCCTGGTTATTCTGCCTGGCAGTGTCCCTCCCAGAGAGGTTTTGTCCCTTCACGGGACCTCCCTTTCTCCCTCTAGCCTTTCTTTTTCTCCCAGTCACCACCACCGGCTCTGGTTGCCCCCATGGCATAGTGCTTTGTAGTGAGAAGCAAGGCGGGGGGAGGGCGGGGGATGTGCCCGCAACACTAAAGCTGGGGCGTTGGCCGAAGGCTTCTTCCTTCTTCCCACAAGGGCTCTGAGCCAGGGAAGGGGAGGGGGACCCCATTTGTTCTTGCTCCCCCCCTCTCAGGCAGCCTCCCTTGTCTCTGGCAGCTCTTGCCCCCAGAGGAAGAGTTACCCTTTGGCTCCTGGCTTGGCTTAGCAAAAACCTAGGCACTTTACCCAGCATCTTCCAGTATTGCCATTATATACCTCTACCCTCATGGCCATAGAGCAACACTCTACACTCATAGCCAGTGCCTTCCCACTAGTGACTGTACCTCTCTGCCTTTTTGAGATGGGGATGGATAGCAGCTCTGGTTGTCTTGGGATTTACCAGAAGAAACAAATTGCCCTGGGTTCTCAGCTTTTCCCTGCTGACATTCCTTTCCTGGCTTCATGATTTTCTAGGCAACTTTTCTGTGTGCTTAGGGCCCTGCACATAGCTGGCTTGAATCAAGTCAACAGATGTCTGTTGTGGTGATGTGTCCAGCCATGGGTTAAGTGCTGTAAGGAACAAAATAGAAGATAACAATATGAACCCTGCCCCCAAGGAGCTTAAAACCTAGCAAGGGAGGCCAGACTTGTCCATGAAACAGTGGAAAGAAAAGTCAAGCATTAGGCACCAGATTATTTGTTTCAGGCTAGGTGTTCTGGGTGTACAGAGAAAGAAGTCTAGAGCATTGTAGAATGTTTTAGAAGACATAGGATTTCAGTGAGACCTTGATAATGCTCTGAGGGATTTGGCTAAGTGGTGTGTATTAGTTATCTCTGGTGGTGTAACAGATTACCCTAAAACTTAGCAGCTCAACACAACAATAAATGTATTCTCTCCCACAGCTTCTGGGGGTCAGGAATTCATGAGCAGCTTAGCCAGGCCTGGCTTGGTGTCTCCCACGAGGTTGTAGTCAAGGTGTCAACCATGGCTCCATTACCCTGAAGGCTTGACTAGGGCTGGAAGGTCCGCTTCCAGGGCGGCCCCCTCACGTGACTGGCAAATTGATGCTGGTTGTTGGCAGGAAGTCTCTTTTCCTTGCCCCGTGGGCTTCTCCCAAGGACTTTTTGAGTGTCCTCATGACATGGTAGCTGCTTTCCCCCAGAACAAATGATCCAAAAGAGAGGAAGGCTGAAACCACATTTTGTCTTTTAGGAAGTAGCCTTGGAAGTCACACACTGTCATCTTTGTAGTCTCGTATTTGCTACACAGGGCAACCCTGTCCAATGCAGGAGGGGGCTACATACGAGCACAAACATCAGGAGGGATCATCAGGGGCCATCTTAGAATATGATGAAGGCAAAGTCTGCTCTCTGGTCACCCAGTGATTAATGTCCCTCTCACATGCAAAGTGTACCCACTTTGCCCAAGTGGGTCTCCCAAGGCCCCCCAAAGTCTTGTCCAAATATGACATCAGCTCCCAGTTTAAACTGTTTTTTAAATGTATTTATTTTGAGAGAGAGAGAGCAGGGGAGAGGCAGGGAGAGAGGGAGAGACAATTCTGAGCAGGCTCTACATGGTCAGCAAAGAGCCCACTGTAGGGCTTGATCTCACAAACTGTGAGATCATGACCCGAGCTGAGATAAAGAGCCAGATGCTGAACCAACTGAGCCATCCAGGCACCCCAGAATAAGGTCTTAGTTTAGAATCTCATCATCCAACTTAAGTCCAGGTGCAAATGAGGCTCCGGGGGTCTGGTTCCTTGAGTACAGTTCCTTGAACACATTTCCTCCCCATTGAAGACCCCACAAGGGAGAAAGGGAAGCTCAGAGAAGCTAGGCCTTCATGCAGGTCTTCGCACTAGCGAGTGGCAGAGGCAAGATCCCAAACCAAGATCTGTCTGACTCTTGCACCCAAGTGCTTTCCACCACCCAGGCTGGGCTTGAATGCAACCTCGGGATGTGATGTGGAGGAAGGTGAGAAGAGGCTGGGGAAGGTTTGAAGGCAGGTTGCAATAAGAGTGATGGCCTTGGCAACCATGCTTAAGTCAAAGAAGTCTCCAGTTCTCTTTACTCTCAGTTTGCTTTTGCTTATTTAGAAGTAGGACTTGTAAAAACCTCATCAAAGGGATATTGAGGCAGGTAAAGAGAGCATGCAGAGTGCTTGAAGGAAGCTGAGATATCCTCTCAATTTCTGATTTCTGAGCCCTTGGTCAATCATTGGTTTATGTGGTTGAGGATTTGAGCTCCTCAGCATCTGCTCACTGGATAGGAACTGGTGGGGGCCTGTGCTGATATGGGACTGCATCTGTGCTTTCCAGGGCAAAGGTCGTTGGAGCCAACAGAAGACGCGATCTCCCAAATCACCCACCCCAGTGAAACCCACCGAACCATGCACACCCTCCAAGTCCCGAAGTGCCGGCCCAGAGGAGGCCTCCGAGTCACCTACAGCCCGGCAGATCCCCCCAGAGGCACGTCGGCTCATAGTGAACAAGAATGCGGGCGAGACCCTCCTGCAGCGGGCAGCACGTCTTGGCTATAAGGTAGGGAGCTCCACGCCAGCAGGATGCCACTGCCCAAGCACCTGTGGAGAAGCTTCTCCTCATTGGCTCTTCTGTGGCCTGGGCAGGGCTTTGTTTGGGGTTTCAACCTCGACTGGACTCCTTCTACTGCCCAGATGGCCTCTGGGGCCGGCCAGCGTGGTATGTGGGAATGCAAGCTCATGTGAATATCAATTGGGAATGAAAATAATTGGAATGGTAACACAATATCGATAATCCAACACATTCCTAGGCCAGAAGTGGGATTTTGACATTGTCTTGAATTTCTCTTTGTGCTGGCTCCCCAACTCAGAGAAGAACAAGGATGATCACTGCTCTTAACATTCTCCCGCTGCCCCCATTTTGGCTCCCAGTAGAAGAGGAGGCAGTAGTGTATGGGGGGGGGCTAGGTTGGGCTCTCCTACCGTACACTACTTCCCTATGGATTGGAAAGGAAGCTGGCATTTATTGAGTACCACTTTTGTCCTATTAATAGCTCTGATTGCTTCATATCATTTCATCTCACCTTTAACCTGTGGAGGTAGGTTTTATTAGCCCCGTTCTACATGTGAGAACATCAAGGATTAGCAATGTGAAATGATGTGTCCCTTACTTACTACTTCATCTGTATGAGCTTGAATTCTCACCAAGGTCTTTTTGATGCCCAAGTACCAGGGTAGGGTGGAAGCCTGACTCAGTGACCATAATTAAATTTTGTTGGACGTTTGTGTTGATAGGAACTCCTTGACCATGTATCTTTGCCTACCACACCAATTGTTTCCTCAGGATTTGCTCTTAAGGGTGGAGCTGCTGGGTTATACAGTAGACCCTGATTTTTTTTTAAGGCTTCGAATAATCTACAACTGATGCATATAAAGACAGCTGCACTTCCAGCCAGGCTGGCCGTCACAGGGGAACTGCCTTGACAGCGTCTCACTGGCAACCTGCCCATCTTTCTTGAGCACCTAGTGTGGGGGCTGGGATAGGTGCCAAGGGAGATCTAAGGAAAGAAGATGACCAACACCTGACCTCAGGTTTAACCTTGTACCTAGAGCCAAACTAGCAAATCGGGAACCATAGGGGAACCAACCAGGGCAGGGTAGGAGCAGTCTGGGCAACCTGTCATGGAAGGGAGGGAGGAGGAATATGAGGCCTGAGAGAAGAGGCAAACCTCTGCGCTGGTGAGGAGGGTAGGGGGCCTTGCGCTCTCCTGGGTACGGGCAGCCTGATAGTTCCTGTATCCAAGAGACAGCACCTCCAACACAGGCACACACTCACTCACATGTTCACTCACTCACTCAATTGTCCTAGCCAGACAGCCTGCGAGCCAGCTGTCAGTTGGGATGCCTGGGAAGACCATGTCACCAGGACCTGACAGAGGCCTGATGATAGGCCCCTGGTAGCTGCTGCCTGCCTCTTCCCCTCAGAAGAGGGGCTGCCTCTCCCCTCCCCCTCAACATATTCACTAGCTTCATTTCAGACTACCTTGGATGCTTCCAGTGTCAGAGTCCCATCTCTAGTCCTATCGTGTAGCCCAGGGACACTGATCATTACTATATGTGAATGAATGACCACACTGGATTATACTTGGAGCAATCCTGATTGGAGAGGAGGCTAGAACTGAATGCTCTGGCATAAACATCCAGGACTAGTGCTTAAAACAATTAAAACTAGCATCCAAGGATAGTACTTAAACCAATTCTTCTTTCCTTATTCTTGAATCACCAGAGACTGTGCTTGCCACCACATGTCTCATTTCTGTGGTCTGGTGCTACCTTGCAAATCTCCAGACTAGGAAATCAGTGCTCAAGGACTTGAGGCCTGAGAGTACGAGCTGGTGGTAGGCAGGTAAGCCTCTCTGAGGACCTCATTCTAACAACCCACACCCAGATGAGGGAGTATCCTTGGTGATAAGAAATGTCTTCCCGCTGCTAAGAAAATAGCACAGAGTCAAGGCCGTTAGAATGGACCTCAGGATTGACTTTGGTAACAAACGATTTTGACACTTGTTTGTTAGTTACCGCAATAAGACTTACTCTTTGGACATTTGGAGAGCTTCAAAACTAACTGGAGTGATGTCAAGAATTAGGCGTCTCTTGGGGCACCTGGGTGGCTCAGTCGGTTGAACGTCTGACTTCCACTCAGGTCATGATCTCACAGTCCTGAGTTCAAGCCCCATGTTGGGCTCTGTGCTGACAGCTCAGAGCCTGGAGCCTGCTTTGGACTCTGTGTCTCCCTCTCTCTGCCTCTTCCCGACTCATGCTTGTTCACGCTCTCTCTTTCTCTCTCAAAAATAAATAAACATTAAAATTTTTTTAAAAAAGAATTAGGCCTCTTTTTGCTCATGGAGCTCTCCCTGTCCCCACAGGACGTTGTTCTCTACTGCCTTCAGAAAGATAGTGAAGATGTGAATCACCGCGACAATGCTGGCTACACAGCCCTGCACGAGGCCTGCTCCAGAGGCTGGACGGACATCCTGAACATCCTGCTGGAGCATGGGGCCAATGTGAACTGCAGCGCACAGGATGGCACGAGGCAAGAAGGCTGCCCCCTGCCCTCACCCCCACCCTCAGCTCTGCCCCTCACTCAGAAGAGCTTGCTGCAGCCTAGACCTTCACAGAACACCAGGCTACACATTGCAGAGAGGCCTTGTCAGGAGGTGTTTGAGGAAGACAGCTGCAGACTGTAGAGGGAAGTGGTTTACAGCAGGGGTGTATGAGTTCCTGGCTGGCCTGTCCACATTGGTAACTAAGGGCAGGTTGGGGTCATCTAGGGATCATCCCATTAAATGCAGCTTTACCAGTAACACCACTCAGGCATCCCTCAAATCCTCCTGGTAGCACATCTATCTCAGGCAGCATCTTAGGCTCTAGGAACCAGGAGGCTGACCTTAGGGTAATGCCCCAGATTTGATTCTTGATTTGATGTCTGTACACTTGAAAAAAGATACCTGCTCGGTCTTAAAGAAATTGTACCCATTCCCTTCTATCAGAGGGCCTACCTCCTGAGGAACATTGAGACATGAGCTGCATATCAAGTGGGGGGCTTGGGTCAGAGGACGCAGGCTCTGCTTGGCTGCCACCTGGTGCGGGGAGCCACTCTGCTCATCCCTGCTCCAGAGTAGTCATCCAGATCTTTCTGTTCATACCCTCACCATCTGCTTTAAGATTATCCTTGCCCTAGGGCCCCGTTCTCTCCCAAATTCCAGAGCTACAGTGGAGCTACATGGTACCCGAGGGACTGTCCCAAAATGTAGGGGGAACCTTGGAGAGCGAAATGGGAGTGGGGGGAGGAGAAAGAGGCACAGAGAGAGGAGAAGGAAGTAGGAAGAAATGATGGGGGGTATAGGCCAGAGGTGGTTTCTCTGCTCTAAGTCTTACCCACATTATCCTAGGATCATCTTATTTTATTTTCCCCTGATGAAGTAGCCTGAGGCCTAGACACCTAGGCTCCCGCTTGGGCTCTGTTGTCCTCATCCTGTTTCACCTCTACAGGCCAGTTCATGATGCAGTGGTCAATGACAACCTGGAGACCATCTGGCTCTTGCTCTCTTATGGGGCTGACCCCACACTGGCCACCTACTCGGGACAGACAGCCATGAAGCTGGCCAGCAGCGACACCATGAAGCGCTTTCTCAGTGGTAAGCACAGCCCAGGCTTGAAGCCATCATCCTTGGGGCTAGCCTCCAATTCCTAAACTCGTGAGGAGATATTCTTCATCTCCCTCCATCTCAACTCCCATGAGAGGCGTCAGCCCTCTGCAGGCTTTCCTTGAAGTGTCTTAGAAATCTCTATGCACTTTAAAAAGCCTAAAGGTCTACTTCCTCTTGTTCCAGTGCTATGAGTATCCATATCGCATGCATCCTCTTCAGGGCCATGGTAGCTCACAGGGACCCACTTCCTAGCTAGGTATGTCGGGTAGGCCTCCTTGTGAGGCAGCGGCCCGACTGATGGATTGAACTGGGGGCAAAGTGTATTGACCCATGTTTTGAACGGGTGTTAGTTACAAAGAAATGACACTTAGCATTTTGCTTTTGTTCTTGAACTTTCTCCTTGTTGGTAATCACAGTGGAACCCTCAGGACCCTTCCTGATGCTGTATTTCTCCCCCCCTGCCTATGGTAACTGATGTTCCCTCTGCACCCCCCTGAACCTTTTTTCTTCCTCTGTCATCTGGCCCCTTTGGAAGAGTGTGTGGTGTTCAGGTCCATGGCAAGGGCCACAAGCCAACATGTATTTATGTTCTTATTAGTGGACAGCCAGTTTGCCTGCAGTTAGGTAGCTCTGCTGAGTTGGGCAGCAGGGACATGGGACGGGGGGAAGTCCAGTGTGGGCATGCCCACTGGAAATCTCCTCAGACCTGACCTCTGAATGATGGAACTCTGCCTCCTTAGTGATATCACAGGTCAGCCCTTGCTCTAGCAGTTTCTTCTTCAGACTGCCAGAGTGCCCGACAGAAGGAGCTACTGGCAGTTGTCTCACTGACCCTCTGTAGAGGCCTCATTGTTTGCTGTTGAACCCCTTTCAGACTGGGAGCTTATGGGACCAAGGGTTTGCTCAAGGCCACTCACTCTCACTCTGGCTGTGGCCTTAGTTAGTCCTGAATCCCCACCTCCCCATATATAGTTCTGGGCTCCCAACCAGGAAGGAGATCATTTATTCGTTGAACAAAGGTTAACTAGGTAGCTGATGATGGAGGAAGAAACAAAGGAACGTGAACTAAAGGTTCCTGTGGAAGGAGGACTAGGTGGGAAGCATCACCTTGATACTAATAAAAGCCAAGGGATAAGCAATGGGAAGCCGTGGACAGAGGCCTTGACTCCTCCCTCAGCCATCCTTCATCAGGTCCCTAGTCAAGCCAACCAAACCCTGCAGTCACTGGTCACTGCATATAGGCCTCATGCCTCCCAGTGACACCCAGCCCTTCTAGCTAGGGGGCAGGACTGACTTTTCCCTCCCCTCAGCTCTGGGGCTGTCCCAGGCCACTGGCCGTGAAGGGCCGAGCAATTTGGTAATGCTCATCCAGTCATTTGTCCGAAGCCAGTCATGACTCTTGCTCACTGTAGCTGCACCATCATGGGGGCTCAGGGCCCCTTCTTAAATACCATGTGCCACATGCACTGTCTTATACATACACGTCTGCAGTCCAGCTGATTCCCAGAAGAAACTAGCACAGATGAACATCCAGAACTTCCCGACATGATAAAAGCACTGCATGAAGCTCTGTCTCTGACCAAGAGGTTTAATCCAGGCCCTCTCTGCACTAGAGACTGTCCTCCAGAGGGGACCCTCTGGATCCAAATAAAGCCATCTCTGACCACCTTAGTGCGCAGATAAACTCTTTTCTTTCCCGACCTCTTCTCCAGAATTCCAAAGGAATTAAAATATTGAGACCATTTTCAGTAACTAAAAATTTAGAAACAAACACATTTTTATCTCTTCTTCCCATTTCTGTTAGCTAATCCCAGCTACTAGCCAGCCTTTTGATGCCTCCTTCAACTAATCTGAATGCCGGCTCACGTTGCAGAGTCAAGAGAAGACTTAACTTTTTTTTAAATAAAGATTTTATTTTTAAGTAATTTCTATAACTAATGTGGGGCTCAAACTCACAATCCTGAGATCAAGAGTCGCATGCTCCACCAACTGGGACAGCCAGGAACCCCATGAGAAGACTTCTCTTAATTCTGACACTTTGTAGCCTGTCCAGGCCAAACACCTTCACTCAGATTTTGACATTGTTTCTCAACTTCATAGGCACAGAGCTACAGCTTCATAATGGGGGGCGGAACTGAACAGAGTGTTGGAACAGGGCTACCTCTTTTCCATGCAAATACCAAGTGTGCTCAGATGCAGATCTCTGTCTCCTGTTTGGGAAAGTGCTAGCAGCACCTGGCCCTTATGCCCCAGGGAGGTGCTGGCAGGGGTCAGTGGGCTCCTGAGAGAGGGAACTTGGGCCCATAGGCTGTTTTCGGGAGATGAGAAGACAATACTCAGTTTTTGTTTTTGTTTTTTTTTAATTGAGGTGAAAATCACCTAATACAACTGTTTGGAAGTGAATGATTCAGTGGTACTTAGTGTATTCACAATATTGTATAACCATCATCAGGGGCTCAATTCCTTAAACTGAGTATTTCTCTTTTTTATTAATCACAGCCACCCCCCACCCCCACCAGATGTCACAGAACAATTGGACAGGATGGTCTAGTGCCTGGAGGAAGCACCATGGGCTTGGAAGTGTAGGAGGCATTTCCCTCACTGCCCACCTCCCCAGCCCCTAAACCTGGATGCATTTGGGTGGACCTCTGGATTTATTTATTTTTTTAACTTTGCCTGTCGTGCAAAGGTATTTAAAAAACTTTTTGCTTTTCATCCCCAAGCATTTGCCTGACCAGACTCTCTGTAGATTAATTGTCTTCTCCCTCCCCTGGTGGAGATCCCACTGGGCAGAAAATGAAGGTGAATCCCTGTAGAGTGCAAAGGGCTCCATTTTCTGCAGGTGGAAAAGATGAGTGAGAACGTCAGTGTTGTTCCTGGTGTGGAGCTTCCTTCTCTTTGTGTAAGGCTCCTGTTCTGGAAAAGTCTGGGAATGAAACCTTCTTTTAAATACACAAAAGAATGTCACTATTTACAAGTATCCTGTAGTGAATCCTTTAGCAAAGCAGAAGATGCTCGTAATTCATCTGGGTTGTAAATATGTACTTTTCTGTATTGAGTTGGCTTAAAGTAAGGCCTGTTTCTCCAGAAATCATGAAGGATGCAGTGGCACCCCTTCTATTCATCCATCTATGCATTTATTGAGCCCCAGTTAGGTTTCCGGTACAGTGCTGGGTACTGGAGGTCAAAAAGCGAACCCTTTCTCCCTCATCCTTGGGCTTGGGGCACCATGCCATGCAAACTGTCCAAGAAGCCTTTGGAAGACCTTCTCCTTGGACCAAATTACAGGCAGGCATGTGACTGATTTGCCTTTGACCCTTTGAAGAAAAGAATAATACCCAGGCTAGTCAAGGGAAAACAGATTCGTTTTCATCTGTCAGAAAGAATGTGGGGGCCGAGGGGAGTTGCTGCAGTTTGGTTTTGGGGCATCCGAGGAAGGATCAGTACTGCTTTTTCTTCCACTGATGAAAGAGTTAGCAGTTTACCACCCAAGGTCACTGAATCACAGGTTTTTGTTTTTCCTGCCAGAGACTTTTGCCGTATCACCCCATGTCGAGGACCACTTGTTTTCTTTCTTTTCCTCTCTCCTTTCGAGTCTCTCAGTTAGTGACTTGGTTGGAGGACATAGGGAGTGGTATGATGGGACCCTGAGAAAGACAGAAACTCTGCCAGGGTGACCACTCACCTTGAGTACTTAAAATTTTTCTTTTATTGAGGTGAAATTCACATAACCTAAAACCAAAGCTATTTAGAAGGGAACAATTCAGTGGCATTTAGTGTAGTCACAATGTTGTGCAACCACTGCCTCTATCTAGTTCCAAAACCTTTTCATCACCCCCAGAATGAAACCCCAAACCCATTAAGCATTTGCTCTCCATTTCCCCTCCCAGCCCCTGGCAAACACCCATGTACTTTCTGTCTCTATGGCCCTGCCCATTCTGGATATTACGTATAAATGGAATGATACAGCATGGGACCTCTTGTGTCTGACTTCTCTCATGTGGCATCATGTTTTTCAAGGTCCATCCATGTGGTAGCATGTTTCAGTACTTCCTTCCTTTTTCTTAAAGTTAATTTATTTATCTTGAGAGAGAGAGAGAGAGAGAGAGAGAGAGAGAGAGAGCTGGAATAGGGGAGGGGCAGAGAGAGAGAGAAACCCAAGCAGGCTCCATGTTGTCAGCATGAAGCCCGATGCAGGATTTGAACCCATGAACCATGAGATCATGACCTGAGCTGAAATCAGGAGTCAGAAGTGTAACTGACTGAGCTACCCAGGCACCTTGTACTTCCTTTTTGATGCTGAATGGTATGCCATTGTACGGATCTACTCCATTTTCTTTATGCCTTCATTGGTTCATGGGCATTTGGATTGTGTCTGCCTTTTGGCCGTTGTAACTCGTGCTGCTATGAACATGTGTGTAGAAGCATCTGTTTGAGTACCAGTCCTCGGTTCTTGTGGATATATACCCAGGAGTGGGATTGTGGGGCTGAGGGCACTTTTTGGTGGAAAGGAGAAGAATAAAGGACTGAAATTTATTGGAGGGGCAGGGGACAGTCAAGGGAAGAGGAATATCCCTCTTTGTCCCTATTGTACTTGAAGGCTTATAAGGAAATATGACTGGAAGGTGCGCCATCAAGCAACCGTGGGAGCTTCTTCGGGCACGCAGCTCATAGGCCTTCCCAGACAATTGCATCTTTGCTCATGCCCATGCACACTGGGCTGCCTCAGAAAGGCAAATTCACCTGCAAATGACAAAGACTTGTTGTCAGTGAGGAGAATTAGTGGAATGTGCCAGGGGCTCTGAAGGCAGTCCCTAGAGAGGAGCCCCAAGAATGTGGTGAACCAGGGCTCTGATGGAATCCTCGTGTGACCTCCTGGGAGACAGCAGTCCTTGGAGCACATGTGTTTTGGCATGCTGGTTAAGCAGGCTTTAGGTCTTGCCTCGTAGTAATTCCTCCCTCCCTCCCTGTCTTCCCCATATGTTTATTTGCTCTTACTAGGTGGCAGGCACCTGGGCTCAGGCCATGGAAAGACAATGATGAACAACACAGACATATTCCCTGCCTCTTGGAGACTTATGATCTCATGCCTTCATCTCCCAGGACACCTAGCACAAGGCCAGGCACAGAATAGGCACCTACCTAACTGACAGATGCTTTCAGGAGAAACTCCTTCCAACTCTCAAGGGACACGGGGTCCAGAAGAGCACAGAAACTGGCAGTCATGACCTCAAGAGTTTTTTGTGGAGTACATAAAAAAGATCTAATGTGCGTGACTAAAGGTTTTCCACTGTAGCTGCTCAGCCATTATTTTGAAAGCTTTCTCTTGCTGCCTTTTCCTACCAGAAGAAGCCCTTCATCTCCTAGAAGGTTGCTAAAAAGTTAGTTCTTTTCGTAGCTCACAACAGCTAATAGGCATTTTTGCTGACAGACTGTGTGACCCAAAAGGGAAGTATATTGGAGTGCGGTGGTGCCTTTCATCGGGGGGAGACTGGCTTTGTGCCTTTAGGAGTGGCCACCAGCTTCCTCCTGGGATTTGGTTTCCAGAGGGCACCCTCACATCACCTGTGCCCTTTGGACTCTCTCCCATACTTCTGCCCGGGTGTCACCTGAGGGCTGGTAGCAACCATTATAGAGCTAAGTCAGCTTGCCAATTGTGCTGGGTGGCATACTGCCAACCACTGGGGCATGTGCCTACAGATACCACAGTTGAATTTGTCATGAAAACCTGTCTTTTGTACATGTGGGGCTGAGAGGTGAAGCAGTTCCACTAGATGATGCTTAGCTAGGAGACAAGGAGGCAAAGGGTGACCTGACGTCTAGCCTCTGATCAAGTAAGCAAAAGGTGGTTAAAAATTTGTTTTTTTTAGTGTGGCAAAATACTTACAGCATAAAATTTATCATTTTAACCTTTTGTTTTATTTTGCTTTTTTTTATTATTTTATTTTGTAATTTATTTTTGAGAGAAAGAGAGAGACAGAGAGCAAGAAGTGGAGGGGCAGAGAGAGAGGGAAGCCCAGAATCTGAAGCAGGCTCTAGGCTGCACACTGTCATCACAGAGCAGGATACAGGGTCAGAACTCCCAAACTGAGAGATCATGACCCGAGCCGAAGTCAGACGCCCAGCCAACTGAGCCACCCGGGTGCCTCTTATTAACTCGTTTTAAAAATTTTTTTTAATTTATTTTGAGAGCGAGATTAGAGAGCAAGCAGGGGAGGGGCAGAGAGAGAGGGAAAGAGAGAATACAAGCAGGCTCCACACTGTCAGCATAGAGCCCGACCTGGGATTCAATCTCACAAACTGTGAGATCATGACCTGAGCTGAAATCGAGAGTCAGATGCTTAACCAGCTGAGCCACCCAGGTGCCCCCTACTATTTTAGCCATTTTAAAAAGTGTACAGTGAAGTGACATTAAGTGCATTCAGAATGTTGTGCAACCATCACAACTACTGAGTTTCAGAACTTCATCACCTCAAAAGGAAACGCTGTGCCCATTAGGCAGTCACTTCTTGTTCCCTCCTAACTACCCATATGCTTTCTGTCTCTAGATTTTCCTGTCCTGGATATCTTATATACACGGAATTATATAGCATATGGCCTTCTGCGTACGGCTTCTTTAATTTAGTATAATGTCTTTAGGGTTCATTCATGTTGTAGCATATGCCATTACTTTGTTTTTTATTATAACTGAATAATATTCCATTATATGGATGGACCATGTTTTGTTTATCCCTTCATCAGCTTAACAACATTTGGGTTGTTTTCACTTTTTTGGCTATTGTGAGTAGACCTGCTATGAACATTCATTTGTGTATAAGTTTCTGTTTGAACACCTGTTTTCAATTCTTTGGGGGTATATACCTAGGAGTGGAAGCAAAAGGTTTTTATGAGGGTAAACTTGGCCCTCTTCCCCATGTTTTTCAAAGATGAAACAGAAGGAATTCTGCTTCCTTATCTTACTTTGAATTGGAGAGATCCTGATTGGCTGTATGAACACTGTGACCTGCAGGGAATTGAAATCTTGGGACAGGTCTGAGATTGTACTGGGAGAGTCCATTCCCTACAACATTAAAAGCAGGGATCCCAGACCTAAATGCCTCAGGCTTATCATGTAAGAGAGCAGAGCAGGCTGGGTGGGGATTATTGAACCGGAGAACGTACATGTCGCCTCTCCCTCCGGCCAACTGTTGACATGCAGGAATGTGGGACGCTGTGTTGCCAGATTTTCTGATATTTTTTTTCAAGAAGAGTTGGAAATCCAAATTTTTTGGTGAAATCTCTCAATTTTAAAATGTTTGACATTTTTTATTTTTATTTTTTGGTTTAAAACATTGGGGCAAACCCCAAGTGGTCAGTGGGTAGATTTGGGTCCTGGCTGCTGGTTGGCAACCTCTGATTGACAGCAGGAAATGTATCTCTCCCTGTTAGCCCCCAGACACGCTAGTGGTCCTTCCTTCCCTTCTCCCATTCTCCTAGCCCCATATAGACGTACTTTGTTTCTAGGCCCTTCTCCAGCCTACCCTCCTTGTCTCACTGCCTCCTCTTCTTTCATCAGATCACCTCTCGGATCTTCAGGGCCGGGCAGAGGGTGACCCTGGAGTGTCCTGGGATTTCTACAGCAGCTCTGTGTTGGGTGAGCTTTGAGTCGGATTCCTCCCATGCTTGTCTGTGGCTCAGAGATGGGGGATTGCTTTGGGTTTCACGGATTCTTCTCAAAGACAGGAGTGACCCTGTGGGGGCAGCCTTTCTCCACTTGTTAGTAACTTATAGACCCTTTCAACCAAAACATTAGCCCATGTTCCCCCTAGACTCAGAATACAATGGCCTAAACCAGGGATGCCACAAAGCCACCCCTCATTAGCCCTCCACCACTTATGCCCTGGTTATTGTTTTTATTCTCTCTCTTCCAAGTGCCTTTCTCCTCCCTTGCTTTGTCCTAACCCTGCCACAAGCCACTGTATTGCATTGTCATCTCTTGTTCACACTCAGGAGAGACCCAGCCCGTTACCTGGTCATGATCATTCTTTCCCTGCCCTGCCCCCACCATGCACAGTTTCTGAGACAGCTGCTGCCTCCCAAGCCCTTAGCCTCTACCCAAGCTTTCCTCTCTTGGAAGCATCTTTCTCTGTGGCAGTCAGCTAGCACTCATGTCTGGGGCTGGGGCTGCAGGTTGGGGGAGATGGTCAGCCCTAAGCTCTGGGGAAGCTAGAGCTGGGGAAGGTTGGGATGGAATGAAATATGCCACACCCAAACACGTAGCCAGGGAAGGGGACTGGCTGAGCAGCCCCTCAGGGCTTCTGAGAGCCCTGCAGGCACGGCAAGTGTTTCTACCTTGCCTTTGACTGCTGGTAGTATCATTGGGCTCCATCTCCAAAGGCCAAGCGGCTAGTCCTTCATATCAGCCAGCTGTTTTCCAACCAAAAGGTGGAGTATGATGAATTTCTGGCCAGAAACTACTGTCTTCCAGGGACAGGACTTTCACACGCCCTCCCAAGGATGGGAGCCATGGGATCAGCAAAACTTGGCCCCAACTAGGGGTCTGTGAGCTTATTGTTTATGTCCTGATCACCCGTCTCCATGCCCTTTTATCTTATTGGAGCATTTTTTCTTCAGTTTTGTGCATGTAGCTAAGTCCTCGTATCCCATGTGCTCTCCTTACAGAAGAAAAAGATGGCTTTGCCTGTGACCTCCTACATAATCCTCCTGGGAACTCTGATCAAGAAGGAGATGATGTGGAAGAGGATGACTTTATGTTTGAGCTCTCAGACAAGCCTCTTCTCCCTTGCTACAACCTCCAAGTGTCAGTGTCCCGTGGGTAAGTGTCTAAGGGATCTATAGGGACTGAATGCCAGGATCCTGGCAACCCCTGGCCTGCCTACCTGGGAAGGGTGGTGTTCTCCAGAAGGAAGCAGACACCTGGAGAGCACATGCTGGAGCTTAGGGAAAGCTGACATATGACCAAGACTAGCCTGACTTTACCACCCTGATTAGTTACATTCAGAACAGAGGCTGTAAGCTCTAGTTATATTGACTGTATGTATTTCCAAACCCAAAATCTAGTTTCACTCTCTGAAGAATTCCACTGCTGTTCCTTGATGTAAGAGATGATCTGGGAGATGTTTGAGCTGATGAACTATTAGAATCTCTGGAACATTTCTGTGGTTTCTGGGAACAGCCAGACAGAATATTTGAAATTGAGATTCTTGGAAAAGCTAGCACATATGGTTACCATAGCTAAGAGGCTGCTGGGGTCCTTAAGTAATCCGCAGCCTGCTTTATTGTAGCCTTAATGTTGGCAAGAGGATGGCCTCGGTACTGTCATCTCAGATCACTGTGTGTATTGTTAGCAGGCATCTCCCATTTTTGGATACTAGAATATACCTGACGCTTACCATTAGACCGAACCCAGTTGAATCTCGATTTGAGGATTCATAAGGGACTTTGACAGCCTGCGGGACCACGGTCCTTGTCAGCTGTCACCGGATGGCAGTGTGTGGCAGTGCTGCTCAGGAGGATGCGGAATGAATTGTCCTTTTGTTCTCAGCCTCCACCATTAGGTGTTTTCTTCCTCTTTTCCGATATGTTTGTAGGCTCTCTTAAGGATACTTTTCCTTTGATACTTATTTTGGAAACATCAGACCCTGTCTTTTTTAAAAAAAGTGAAGGCACATGAAGTGCACATGGTCGAGAGAAGGGTACATAATGGATTAGGAGGCCTTCAAGTGAGTCCCTCAAGTTGACTACTCTAAGCATTCACCATCCGGCCACCATGGTTTCTTTGCATCCCTTCCCCCAGGGGCTGATAAGAATAAAAATAGCCTATATGATGACACTAGTTGGGATCAAGTTTCAGGGGCTTTTGGTCCTTATTCTTCTGGGCATCAGCTGATCCCTGAGGGCGGGGTCGGGCCTCTGAGATATAGTATTGCACAGTTAATTAATTCCTCCAGAGTATTCAGCACCTCCTTCTCTGAAACCAGATCTTGGGCCCTCGGCAGTAAAAGGACCAGGCTAGTATGTGTGAGGTGTGGACGGAACACAGGGCAATCAAGAGCCATGCGCCACCCAGCAAGCTGAGCAGCAGGCAGTTTTTCAGTTGAGAACTTGGTACGGGAAAAGCTGGTTTTCCTGACATTACATCCTCCCAGTGCTCTTCTGAATCTGCCCTTGCCCACAGCTGTAGCACACTGTGAAATGCATGTTCTTCAGGAAGTAGGAAGGGTGTAGAATGATGACCCTGAGGGATGGCTGGGTTCAGAAGTGCCTTCAGAATCATCCAAGCAAGCTGAATTCTGCTCACCAAGTGTTAATGTTCTGAGGGGTCTTTTCCATTCTTCCAAAGTGATGGTCCAAGGGTATGGTGTCTGTAGTCCCTTTCTCTGAACCCAGAGCACTCCATTTCCTGGTGGTGTGAGTAAAGGGGTTACTGTCACTGGGAAGAGCATTGCATTTTAGGGAGAAGGGCTGTGGGTACGGGTAGAAGTGGTAGGTGTTGTACAGGACACTCAGTTCTTTTTTTTTTTTTTAAGTTTATTTTGAGAGAGAGAGAAAGTGTGAGCAAGTGGGGGAGGGGCACAGAGGGAGGGTGAAAGAGAGAATCCCAAGTAGGCTCCGTACCCTCAGCACAGAGCCAGACGCACAGCTCAAACCCACAAACCACAAGACCACACCCCAAGCTGAAACCAAGAGCCGGTCACTCAACCAACCGAGCCACCCAGGTGCCCCAAAAGAAAACACTCAATTCTGTAAACATGTCTTCAGCAGGCACTCCAGGTCAAAACCCAAGGGCCAGAATACAGCCTTCAAAGAATCTCTAGTATAGAGGAGGAGAGACAAGTATACGATTAGTTCTAAAAAAAGACAAAGTGTCCAAAGCAGATTTATTATTATAAAAATTTCATGCAGTTCAGAAAGGTGTCGAGTGAATAATGGAAGTTCTAGTACACCCTGAGCCCCCATTCCTGTGCCACAGAGAGAACCACAGTTTATATTTCTTTTGTATCCTTTCTGAAACGGGCTGTGTTTCTAAGTATTATAAAAGGGATATGAACCAAGCCCATGAGACTGTGGAAGATGGGACAAACAGGCAGTTTCATGAAACGGGAACCCATTTCATGGGTGATATGGTGCCTGAGCTGGGCCCGAGAGGCGACAAGGATGGAGGGCCAGCCACAAGCAGAGGCATGAGACAGACAAGTTCAGAAGGCGGGACTTGTCCTTCAGCAGATGGCTGGCACTCGGTGGGGTGGGAGGGTATACTGTGTGTGTGAGTGTGAGTGTGTGTGTGTGTTATTGGGGGAGATTGAGCCAAAGAAGTTGAATGGGGTCATGTTTGAAAGGTGTTGCTATAATATCATGGTAAAGAATGTAGAGGTTTCTTTGCTGGAGGTACTGGGGATCCATGGAAAGCAGTTTAGGGAGTGAGAAGGTCAGATTCTCTTTTTTAGAAAAGGGATAGTAACAGATGCAGTGAAGGTGGGTGGGGGTGCGGCAGGGAGACTCTTGGCGGGGGGAGACCAGTTAGGAGGCTGATGCAAATGCTGCGGGTAGGACAGGGCAATGGCCAGGATGGACAACCTTGGAGACAGAACCATCAGCAGGAGGAGGCGGCGTCTCTTCCTAGTTTAGTCCAAGTGAGCACGTGGCCCAGGACCAGCGTCCCCGGCACCCCTCCCAGCTGTCCCCAGGCTGCCGCCCAGGCCAGTCGGGTGTGCTCAGCAGAGTCAGACTGGCTGTAACGTGAGCTCTGGCCCTGCAGAAACGATGGTGCTGCCGCTGGAGAAAAAAACTAGTCTAATGCATTCCAGAGCCAAGGAGAAATGCCTTTCAGATTACCCGCAGTTTAGGCCTTTCTCCATAGCTCCCCGTCTGTTGGGGAAGGTCTTGGAGAACGAGAGGCAGGGGAAGCAGGAGTGTGAACAGGAAAGGGAAACCAGACAGGGTAGCAGGGCTCAGTGGGGAAAGAACTGGTCCCAGCAGATGGTAAATTCCAGGTCACGGGATGTGGGGAAGGCCTGGGGATGCCTCCTAAGAGTTTTGGGTTCTAGAAGGTCCCTTTCCTTCCTGCTCCCACTATATTAAAGGGAAGAGGTCAGTCATGGGTTGAGTGCTCATGACTGAGCTGAAAGCTGGTTCAGCCAGTGTAGGCTAGCACAGATTTCTGCCTCAGCGACACCGAAGGAGCCCATGGTTTAGTTTGAGGTGGGGTGGGGTGGGCAGGTAGCCAAACTGGCAGCCTTCCTGGGCATTTCAGAGTGTTCCCAGCACCCCACTGTTTCCCCGCAGGCCTCTTCCATAACCCCTACTCTTGCCTCTTCTAGGCCCTGCAACTGGTTCCTCTTTACCGACGTCCTGAAGAGGCTGAAGCTTTCCTCCAGGATCTTTCAGGCTCGGTTCCCGCACTTTGAAATTGCCACCTTGCCCAAGGCTGAGTTCTACCGGCAGGTGGCCTCCAGTCAGCTTCTGACCCCAGCTGAGAGGCCCGGAGGCATGGACGACAGATCCGCCCCAGGCTCCTCTGAGACTGTGGAGCTGGTGCGGTATGAGCCAGAGCTACTTCGGCTCCTGGGGTCTGAGGTGGAGTTCCAGCCGTGGAACAGTTGACCGGGAAAACAGCCCCTCCCTTTTCTTCTTTCTCCTCCCAAATTAACCCTTCCCCGCCTCCCAGGTCTTTCCCCCACCGAGCACCAGACTGCAGAATGAGGCAATAATACGGACCAACAAGAAGCCGCCTTATCAATGCCAGCATTAGTGACTGGATTTTTTTTTTTCTGGTTATTATTAGTTCTCATCTCCCTGTCATCGTCATTGTTGTGGTTGGTGATGGGGGTGGAAAGCTGAATTCCACATCTGAGGGCAAGAGGTCCTGGGGATGGTGGGAGGTGGCGCCAGGGTCCCTTGGGGTGGCCTCGGCCTGTCCAGAGGAGAAATGAGAAAAGGCCAAATCTCTGAGCGCCCCCTCCGTTCCCCTGTGTTCTTCTGTCTTCCATAGTATTTATTTTATTAGTATTTAATTTGTATTGTTTCATTGGTTTCTGATAAGTCTGTATCACTGTGACGATTTGAGACAACTTGTTGTATTGAGGGACTTTCTTCACCTCCTTTGTCTTTCTTGATAAGCTCTGGAGCTGCCCCCTCCCTCTGACAAAGTTACTCCCAGGTTTGTTTTTACCCCAGTAGGGAAGGGGTCAGGTGGGGCGGGGGGGCCTGAGGACCCTGACTGATGAAGGTGGCTGGTGCTGGCCCGGGGCTGGGGGGGTGAGGGTAATCCTGAGGCTTTGGTGCTCCCCCCGCCATTTTTCTGTTTTACCACCTGCCCTTCGCAGCAGCAGCCCTACTATCTGGAGATTAGTGTTTCTGGGGAGGGATGGATTGTGAAGGTGGGGAGCTAGTGAGTCACTGTACTTGGGGAGAGTTGAGAATGGGCCTGAAAGCTAAGGTCGCCCCTCCTCCTCACACTTCCTTCACTGCTCCCCTCAGAGTGCACAACATGGGCTTGATCCTTGTGTCTCCCCCCCCCCCGCCCCCAGCCCCCCTACCCATTCTGCCTTTGTCCCTTCTGGATGCTGAGCCTCTCAGCTCCCAGCCCTTGCCCCTCACCTCTCCCCCTTCCCAGACTCAGCACCACCTTCGTCTCTCCTCCCTGCTTCTCCCTCTGCCCCCTATTCTCCTTTGGAATCTGCAGAGGGCTCTGGGATTGATGGCCAATTGTGAGATCCAGGTCTCAGCTATTTCCTAGCTGAGGGCAGGAGGCTGGGCTCCAGCTGGGCTCCACCCGAGTTCCACTCCCACCTCGCCTCAGGACCTGGGGCTGAGTGTGGGGCCCCTGCCTGGCCGCCCTCCTGGCCTCCAGCGCTGGGTTTGTTTAGGGTGAGAGAGTGAGAGAGAGAGAGAGAGAGAGAGAGAGAGAGAGAGGAGCTCGGGCTGTTTCCCTGTCCCTGCCCCCTCTGTGGCATTGTCTTTCCTACTCTTGTTCTTATTTTTCTACCAATTGCTATTTTTTCCAAACAATCCTTGTAGAGAGTATGTACCATCTAAAGGCAGGAGGGCCTCTCTATGGCCGGCTCTGATTGGAGATGGTACAGTTTTATTGTACAGGTGCTAAAACAACAACAACAAAAGAAGAAAATGGAAAAAAAAGACAAAAAAAAGGCAAAAAAAAAAAAAAGCCAGTTTGAGGATGGGACAATCTGTTCTCTGGAGACTCCTGACCCATGCAGGAGATTGGTGGTTATTTTCTTTGTATTGTGTTTGTTCTTTGTTCCCAGGGGGAAGTTCTAGGCCCCCTTCTGTAGGACTGCTCCCCACCCCCACCATACTGCCCAGTTGGTTTTGAACAGTTGTTCTCCCTTTTAAAACAAAAAACTATATATATATATACATATATATATATATATATATATAAAGTTGAGGGGTTTGGGGTTTTAATTTTTTGGTTTTGTGGGGGGTTCATGGTATTGTGTGGTTTATTTTATGTTTGCCTTTACCTTTTTGCATTTGGGTGTGTATTCTGGCTGCCCTTTATGTTTCATTTAAGCAACTGGCTGTGGAGTCAAAAACACTTGCATACTGAAAACCTGCGTCAGGGCTTCTGTCTCCTGTCTTTTCTCCCCATACTGGTTTTTCTGTGGTTAAAGCAGATGGGTGTCCTGATGAAGTCAACGGGAAAACCCTGATCCTGCCTTGCAGTTTGGGTACAACGAGTGAGGACAAAATGAAGGGGCTAGCGAACATTTGGGTCACTGGGGCAAGATCTGGAAAGAAAAGACAAGGCAGGGGCACATCCTGGGTGGGGGAAGTGGTGGGGAGAATTGAATACTTGCATCGGTTTAGGTGTGTGTGTGTCTGCGGTGGCATGTGTGTGTTCCTTGTTCGCTATAGGGGTAGCTGCAGAGCTGGAAGGAGAGCCCTCTCAGGCAGCTATAAAGAATGATCCTCTTTAACTCAAGGAAATCACCTGCCTGCTGCTCTCTTGCCCTGGGCCACCCACATCCACATCTGACTGCACAGTCTTCTCACTGCCCTCACTGTTGTTCCCCTGCCCTCCCACCCCCTGGCCACCCACACGGTGCAGGCAGTCCACGGTTCTGGTTTCCTAAGACCCAGCTACTATGGAGGCAAGATGCCCATCCTATATTTTACACCTTTTCCCACTTCTGAAAAACAGTGGTAGAAGCTCCCAGTTCCTTTTGCCTGCTGGCTTCAGAACATACCTGTTACTGTTGGAGGAAAAGGGGATGTTGGACAGGCCTGGGATGTCTCCCTGTGGCTAAGTCTCTGGAGAGCCCTGTCCATGCACAAGTGAGGGGATCTGTGGTTCTGGCCATCTGGAGTCTAGCCATCCCCAGGAGCCATGTATGAGCTGCTCTTTGCTCCAGCCCCAGGAGCATGCTTCAACCCAGGTCTTTCTGCCCAGATGGAGGAAACTCCATCCCTTTGAGCCATGGCATTAATCTTCCTCATTGGCCGTTGCTCACTTCCTGATCTTGATGCCTGTAGAATACTTGCTTTCTCAGGTTCCTAAACAACCCCATAGCAGTACTGAATTTAGGTCAATCCTCTGTTTGGAACTTGGAGTGAAGAAATCAGACATGTCAATAGGTCATGAAAGCTATGTGGTGAGTGCAAGGATTCAGTTCAAAGGGCAAGGACACCAGGGTGGTTGGAAGGACTCACCGAGAGAGGGTGCCCAGGTGACACTTAAGTAGAAAAATAGGAGTTAGGGGTGTCGAGGAAGCATCTCTGGACTGAGGGGCCAATCTGAGCAAAGGCTTGGAGACAAATGAGGGTAGTGTGTGTGGGGAAACTACAAGCCACTTCAGGGTCATTGCAGCTGGAAAGGACAGATGGGGAAGGAGGGGGCAGGAGCCCTGCCAGGCACGCCAAGGGGCACGGCTTGGATTTTTCCCTTAGATGATGGGGAACCGTGGGAAAACTTCAAACTGGGTAGCGATAGGGGTATTTTTTGTTTTTGTTTTTATGGTAAAAATGTGTTGGAGGTGGGCCACAGAGGAAGAAAGAGATTCAGGCGAAAGGAGGAAGGGAGAGTGGTAAGGTACTATAAGGATTTCTAGTTAAGGCAGGAGGGAGATGCCATGGGCAGAGTCAGAATGACTCCAAAGACAGGGCACCTAGGTGGCTCTAATGGCGTCTGACTTCAGCTCAGGTCATAATCTCCTGCTTGAGATTCTCTCTCTCTCCCTCTTTCTCTGTCCATGCCCTGCTCTTTTCAGTCTCAAAATAAATAAATGAACTTTATTAAAAAAAAAAAAAAGACCCCAAAAGAATAGGTGAGGGTCCTCTGGGGAGCCATGGACAACCCTGGGCTTCTGGGTTTGGGTGTGTAGGGTACACACACCTCTTTATTTACCTGCAGAAAGGAGGCAAGTTAAAAGCAAAACCAAACAGCAGTTCCTTGTTCTCTTGCCTTTGGGCTCCTTTCCCCACACCTTTCCTAAATACATCTCATTGCCCCTCGGCCAGAGTGGGAAGACCAAAGCAGGAGGTATGGGTTGTGATCTGAAGTCTTCATCCCTGCTCCAGATTTGGGTGATCTCCTAATCCTTCCAGTGTGTCCTAGGGGAAGGGGCCAGCTCCACCACTTGCCACCTAGGCTGAACTTGGGTGAGAACCTAATCTTTCTGACTCTTCATCGCTCTGTCTGCCAAATAGTGCTCAATTTACCCACAAGGGAAGAGAATCATACTGAGTAAACCTGGCCGTTTAGCTGAAGTTAGTTCCTCCTACATGCCAAGGTCGTGGGCCAACAGTTACTGATGGTTTTACCAGAATGTTCCTCTTTGGGGTGCAGGGTTAAAGGGAGGCCCTGTTCAACTCTCCGTATTTCCAGAGAAGGGGTCATCCGCTATCTGTGCACCTCTATTTGGGTCAGAGGGGGGCCAGTTGGGCAGCAAACTGCCCCTTCCACATTCTAACCTATAACAGGGAAGCTTGTTGAGTGTTTTACTGTGTCCAGCCTGCTAAGGGGTGTGTGTGTTAGGGGAGAATAGGGTTTGTGTCCAGCCTGCTAAGGGGTGTGTGTGTGTGTGTGTGTGTGTGTGTGTGTGTGTGTTAGGGGAGAATAGGGTTTGTGTCCAGCCTGCTAAGGGGTGTGTGTGTGTGTGTGTTAGGGGAGAATAGGGTTTGTGTTCAGCTTGCTAAGCTGTGTGTGTGTGTGTGTGTGTGTGTGTGTATGTGTGTGTGTGTTAGGGGAGAATAGGGTCCGCCCCAAAGGCAGCCTGCTTAGCTGCCAGGAGGAGGTGCCTGTGCTTCGGCCTCCTGGACCCCTCAGCGGGCGGGCCAGGACTCCACGTGTTCCCCTAGACTCCAGGTTTCTACCGCGAGGGGAGCGGGCGCGCCGCAGTGTCGGGGGCAGCTGGGTGCGGACCCCTCCCCAGCCTGCCACCAGCCCTGCGGGAGCCCAGGCTCACACCAGAGCTGGCGGCCCGGGGCCCTCCGGCGCCAAACGGATGCCGATGCAGTAGGCCTCCTCGATGGCTCTCCGATTTCAAGGCACTTCGTGGACTTGCAGCTATAGGCAGGCCGCGGAGGGGAGGCGGGTCAGGCCGGGTGCCCCGCGGCGAATAGTGGAAGCGGAGGCTCCCTCCGCCACCGGGGAAGATCCGCAGCCAGTGCGCCAGGCCGGGTCCGCCGCGTGCTCACCTGCCGGTCCCGGAGGCTGGGGGAGGGGGCAGATGGGGGGCGGGGCGAGGGCGCGACAGGCCAATGGGTAGAGGGCATTCAGACCACTGCTGAATTCTCCCGGGAAAGTAGAGGGGTGGAGTGCAGGGGGAAGTTCTAAGCTCCCGAGCAATGGAAAGCCTTGGTGGTGTCTGGAGCCGCCCAGGGACAGTTGGGGGCACAGGGTTAGGACAGAGGACGGGAGGGCGCCGGCCCCACCCTGGCCGCCTCTCCCTTCCGGGGCTCTCCCGGGCAGACAGCCCACCGTCGCCAGCTCGACAGCGCCATCTACTGGACATTGGTCCCCACGTCCAGCGCGCCTGGAGCCGAGACTCTTGGAGGCTGCGACCGCCTTGGCTTCTCAGCCCTGAGAGGGAAGAGAGGGGGATGAGTTCTCAGCCCTCAGACGGATGGGAGGGTGTGAGCTCACTCACCTCGGGTCCAGCCACTTTAACACGAGAGACAACCACCTCTTTAAAAATACGTTATGGGGGGAACACTTGGGTGGCTCAGGTCGTGATCTCGTGGTGCGTGGGTTCGAGCTCCACCTCAGGCTCGGTACTGACAGTGCAGAACCTGCTTGGGATTCTCTCTCCCCCGGCCCTCCCCCACTTGTTTTCTCTCTCTCTCTCTCTCTCTCTCAAAATAAATAAATTTTAAAAATAAAATAAAATAAAATAATAAAAATACATTAAAGGGGACACCTGGGTGGCTCAGTCGGTTGAGCATCCAAGTCTTGATTTTAGCTCAGGTTGTGATCCCAGGGATCTAGCCCTACTCCAGCCTCCATGCTCATTGTGGATTAAGATTCTCTCTCTCTCTCTCCCTCTGCCCCTCCCCTGCTCTCTTTCTCTCTCAAATAAAAACAAATATGTTATGGGATCAGAAAAACCTATGATGGTACGAATAACTTCTTGTCCCGCTCTTTCCATGGAGCCTGACATTTCTACCACTCCTTCCCAGCCAGAGATGAGGAACCAGTTCTGAAGCTGTCCCAAGAAAGGGGGTGGGAAGAGGCCCCGGGTTCAGGAGTCCCCAGTGGCTCCTGGTGACAGCAAGGCACAGCTGGAGGCAGCCCAGGCTCCTCGTGGACCCTGTTAGGAGGAGGGCGTGTAGACCTGAACAAGGAAGCAGCTGCCTGCAGTCATATAAGGGGCCAAAAGGCTGTGAAAGCCCCTAAGTATGGATTGTCCTTCCCCTCCCACTTTTGCCTAGCACAGTATAGGGTTGAAATCCCTATGATTAGAAACAAGACTCATTCTTTCTTTCCATAAACATTTATTGAGCACCTACTGTGTGCCAGGCACTGTGCTAGGCGCTGGGGATACATCAGTGACTAACACACAGTCCCTGTCCTTGAGGAGCTCACAGTCTATTAGACAGGCAACATACATAAACACATAGCTAAGGAGCTACCGTGTGCTAAGTGCTACATAAGAGGTATACACAAAGTGCTGCGGGAGCCCAGACGAAGGAGGGATACATCAGCTGCTAGGGGGTAAGGAGCGGGTCTCCTGACTCCATTACACCGTCTTCACAAAGGCAAAGATGTTGTTGCCACATGACCCTGATGAAATGAACCAGTATCCTGAGGATCTCCTCCGGCCCTCTCCCATAATTAGATCAGCACAGGTTAGTTGACCAAATTAGCTACTTTAACACTTTGAATTAGGAAAGAAACTGGACAGGGAAGTTTCTTTAGGGGCAGGGGATGTTCAAAGTAGTAACAACTCTTGTGTGCTAAGGCTAGGGGGGTGGGAGTGGGGACATCATGACGGCACTGAGCCAGGGAGGGCCGGCCCTGGGCAGTGGAGCACCTAGGGTGAATGTCTGTGCAGAGGAGAGGTCAGAGGTCACCAGCCTCAGACTTTGGTCCCCATCTCTCAGCAGCTCAATTAGTAACATTCATTAGCTGATGCTCACTCGATGGTTCATAGCTTGCCCCGCTCTGTGGATGGTACAGTCCCCCCGCCCCTCAGAAGGTGGCACCCTAAATGGGGAGACTAAATAGGCCCAGGTCATTGAAGATTTAAGTAACAGTTTGTGATAATAAACAGAGGAGATATCACAGGCTGTTTGTGATCAGTTGCCAAAAGAGTGGCAATTGTCGTGAATTTCAAATGAAGAACTCACTAAGGGTCTGGTCTGGGGAGGCAACTTCCATGAATGGAGTCTTAAAGGATAGATACGATTAAATTGATACTAACAGGGTGGGAGGAGCATCCGGGTTGAGCAGAACCAAGTAAAGCAAAACCACCGAGGTGGGAAACTTCAAACAGAGGCAAACTCAAAGGCCGGGGAATCCCTGTTTGACTGGAGCAGGACCCCGGGGGTCAGGGAAGCAATGTGAGAGACGACTAGGGAAGTCAGCTGGGGCCTGATGGTGAAGGGCCTTTGCCAGAAGGTCCAAAGACTTGGGACCTTCCTTTTGGAATTACTGCCTTGAATCCTTAAATGTTCTCTCCTCCCTCCTCCAGGACCCCTGGACTGCCTCGTGGTTCAGCAAAAAAAAGGGTTAGTGCCCAGCTGCCTAGAACAGATTGGAGGCTAAGTATTTTGAGTATCACCCCTACCTGTAGACAAAGAGGAGCCATTGAAGGCTTTTTAGCACAGAAAGAATAGGACCGGTGCCCCGGGAAGATCTGGAGAGGGGGACAGGTCACACTATGGTGTGTTGATATGTCTGGGAAGGGGAATAAGCTCTGGGTAAGTCTGAGCTAGGCTGGAGGCTCTGGGAATGTGGAAGAAAGGCTAGATTTCAGAGACATGGCAAATGGCCTGGACTTCAGGAGAAGGGGGAGGGGACAGGGTCAAATGAAGGCAGCCATCAGATGGCTCTGAAATGTCAAGCTTAGAAGGTCAGAAAAATGGTGGCACCTTTAACAGAAATAGGCAAGTCATTACAGCTTTTTGTTTTGGGGGAGGAAAGATTCTGTGTGTGTGTGTGTGTATGTGTAAAGACTTTCAAATCCATTTTTGATAGAGGGACTGTCTTTGAGGCATGATAGGCATCTGGATGGAAATGTCCAGCAGGCTGCTGGAAACATAAGCGGGAGCTGAGGAGAAAAAGTGAGAGCCGCTGCTCTCGATTTCAGCCCCACCCCCAAAGAGCCAAGCCAGAGCCAGGAGAGTGGCTGAGACCCTTGGCGGGCACCCACATTTAAAGTGGCAGATGTGGGGCCAGCACAGGTACAGAGGGCAGCCCAAGAGCCCGGCTACTGCAGGAGGGGGCGGGAAGTAGTGTCACGAGCCATGAGGGCTCACAGGGACTGAGAACTGTGTAGAAGACACTTGATGTCACCGTGAGGGTTCAGTGACCTTCAGATGACGAGTTCTATGGAGCTTGGGGGGGGGCAGGGCCACCCCTAATCCATGCAGCGCCTTTGTGCAAATTTTGTTTGACAGGTGACTCTTTCTCGGGATGTTTCACTTTCCATTATTGGGAGTTTGTCGTAAAAAACTGATTATATTAGAAAAAGGCATTTTAATGCCAAATGCTGGAACTTGTAACAAATATACCTGCACATCCATATATGTTTCCTTTCCAGAGAGAGAAGGGGGAAGAACAAGAGAGCGGGAGAGAATGATAGGAGGCTTGGCAGTGACCAGAAGGAGAGAGAGAACAACCTGAGGAGGTAGTTAGGTCTAGTGGATAGTTTTATACTGAGGACACAGCAAAGGTCCTGAGGCACTGATTCACATTAACCAAATTCACCAGATCATATAATTGTTTCTGAGGCTGACGATGTGTCTTAACTCTTAGCCTTGCCCCCCAAATTTCACAGGAGAGAGGCAAGCTAATTCAAAGGGGAAGGAGGAGTTAGGCGGAGGGTTTAACTTAAGACAGGATCAGTTGAAACTTCCCCAGAAAGAGGAAAGATGGAAGCAAGGAACCATGCAGAGACAGGAGAAGTGTCATGGGGGCTCACATCCACTGGCTCCTGTCTCCTTGCTGCAGGAGGAGTCAGGGCCAGGTGCAAATGAAAGTTGGAGATGAGTGTCAATGGTCTACTCGAGGTCTGCGGTAGCCATTGTGGGGGTGAGTGGGTTGGCAAACCTATAAGGTGAGTAGAAGGCAGGCTGAGCAGTGGGCACACACAGGCAGGGACGGAGGCAGAGCCAGCGTGCACCACAATACAGCTGCCCCAGTGATGCCTGACAGATGGGAGGTATTGGGACAACATTTATCAAGAGGGAGACCCAGATTAGATCAGGGGGACAGGCCAGCATGCCAGCGGAGGCTGGTGTTACAGCCCATGCCCTCAGCACAAACATTCAAATAATTCAGCCCCTGCCTGGGGACTTTCTATCTGGGTCTGACCTTGGCCCTTCTAACTGCATCTTCCCCAACACACATGCCCACTGAAATCCTCGTGCCCTGGACCTGCTCCAGCTCTGTGACATCTCTTTCAATTTGGGGGATCCAGCTTGTACTTCAGAGCAACTGAATCTCGGTTTGTACAGAGGGAATTAGAGAATGGTTTCCCTTAAAAAAAAAACAAAAACTCCCCATCTCTGCAGCTGACCCATAGAGACACACACCCTTGAAGACCTCACAGCTACACCCCCATCCTCCCCAAAGAAACAGAGATATAGACCCATGAGTACACACAAATACATACAGAGATATTCACATATGGGATAGGAAATTCCCTGTGGAGGAAATGTAGACGGTGAAATATAGCCCCACAGAAGGACTCTTCCCCGGGAGCCCCTGCCTCAGCCTGGCCACAAACTTCTCAGGAGGTTTTCACTCCATCACCCAGTCAGCCCATTACCCTGACAAAAGCATATCCCCTAGTGCTTTTGAAGGCCATGGTCTGACGCCGGGGATGCTCAAACTGGGCATGGCTTGGCTGTGATGATACCAGGCAGGGGTCGGGGACAGGAGATCTGGTATATTGACATCCCACTGAAAAGTAAGGGCAGGTGTGCTGCTTCAGTCAGTCTCTGCTACACGAAGTCCATATAAAACTGCTGCTCAACTTTGCCTGGTGGGACACACCTCCCCCAACCCCTTCATTTATATGTCACGGGGCTCCATCTTAATAAGAGAAGTGGGGTTGAATGGGGAGAAGGGCGCTGGGGTTGGGGATCTGGTCAGGAGGCTCCCAGATGTGGTCACATTAGGTTCAGCCATAAACAGGGACCCTGAGCCTGAGGAGAGCTCAAGTTCAGCCACTGGGGTCAGCCCAACAGTGGGGCGGCTGGGAGAAGAGAAAGTCTGGTTCCCTGGAAGGGAACCCCTTGAAACCACCTGGCTTGGAAGTGGCTGAAGGTGAGCCCGATCCCTCAGGAGCTCCCTCAGGGTCTCTTCAGGAACCAGCAACCCCTCCATGGGGGCCCCAGTCACCATGCCCTGCACATATGAGGAGGGCCTCAGTGGCCCCTCCTTGACCGCAGGGGCTGCTGTGGCACTGGAAGTCCTGATGAAGGCAGCAATGACAGTCCCAGGGCCCTGAGAGCTGGGCCCTGCTGCTCCAGCCCCTGTGACGGAGGATGGCGCTGGGTTGGTCGGACGGCTGGCCCCAGCCAGAAGTTGGGGGAGACCACTAAGAATCAGCGGAGCCCCTGGTGCTGCCACCTGACTTTCTTGGAAACTGGTGTTCAGGGGGAAGGAGGCCTGCAAAGTGAAGGTGTCCTTGAAGGTCGAAGCAGGTGGAACACTCTGGAGAACAAGCTGGGTTGAAGCAGTAGTACTGGCAGGAGGCCCGTTGGTCAGCACTGTGGTCAGTGGGATTGTCTGCAGCGTCAAGGCTGAGCCTGACCCCACAGGGGCCACTCCTAGGTGGATGTTACTGGGCACTGAAGAACTACTGAGAAGAAACAGAAAACAGATTTAGTTAAGGCAGGAGGCATCTCCCAACTGGCTAGGGAGCAGGGCAGAGGAGGACAGAGCTGAAGGTGTGGCTTCTTTGCTGCTGGACCGGCCAACACCCACTGAGTACTTAGTATAGGTCAGGAATCGTTCTAAACGACTGGCATCGGTATTTCACTCAATCTTCCAAACAGCCCACAAATTGAATAAGATTAATAATCTGATTTTTACAGCTTGAGCAAACGGAAGCACAGAGAGGTTATGTAACTTGCTTTAGACCACACAGCTGGTCACAGGGACCCACATCTAGGCTTTCTGACCCCAGAGCTCATGCTGCTCACCACTCCGCTCTATTGCCTCACGTCCTCAGGAGAGCACCTCACCCACGCCATTGTGGCGAGAGCGACATACACATAACTCAATGCCCAACCTTCTCAGAGAAAATTTGGAGGCACTGAGCATGGGAAGAAGTAGCGAGAGCTTTCCGGGTAGCCCTGGAGGGCCTGAGGGAAGCAGAATGGGCGTCTCTGTAACATCCTCCATTGTGTCTTTTCTGGAATGGAGGAGGCTTGGGGAGATGGGCCCAGATGTGGTGGTCCCTGGTGGCTGCTTGGGGAGCGCTCTGAAGTAACTAGAACAGCCCCAGCTGGTGACAGAAGCTGCCCAGGTCAAGTGCTGGCATTGCCATTATTTTAAGGTGTGACCTTGGGCAAGTCACTTTTTCTCTCTTTACCAACAGGTGTGCCCCACTGGCTTCCCACGGATTCTGGGAGGGTCCCGTGAGACTGGAGACACAGCAGAACTCCGCAGGAAGTTGAATACTCTCCCCCAACACGGTGCTATGAGAAGACCTGTAATGGCTCCGGAGCCCTTACCTCACGGCTTTGGGGAGTTTGGCCTGGCTCTCTGGGGGAGGGGCAAGCACGGCGGAGGTAGTAGGGATCTCCTCATCTGCAGACAGTCCCAGTTCCAGATTCGCAGATGGCTGTAAGCCAACACTCTGAACCTTTGGCTTTTCCCAGGAAGGGCCTGCCTTGCCCTGGGGAGCAGCTCTCCCTGAGACCCTGGAGCTGGCTCGCCTAGTGGTGCTGGCGGAGGAGGTGCAGGGAGTGGCGGCCTGAGGGGAGGCCGCCGTGACTTCACTTCTCTCATCCTCGTCTTCGATCACCACCAGGTCCTTGGGCATCTCCTTAAACTGGTACACCAGCCTCTGCCCTTCCACTTTGGCAAGGATGCCTCTTTGGTAGTAGTATCTGGGGGATGAGGGCCAGGGGGTGGGGGGTTAGGCTGGGACATGCCACCCTCCAGGGCAGGCCCGGCAGGAGGAGGGGGGTGGCTGGGCAGCCAGATGGGAGCTCAGGACAAGGGAAGGGGTAAGGCCAACTCTTGGACTTGGGAGGCTTTTACGAAATTTCTGAGATCTCCCCCTGAGGACACCAAAGGGCCATGAAAAGGGGTTTAAATGCTAGCTCTGCCCTGCCTTGGGGCAAAGAACAAGGGGTGAGTAAAGGGGATGGGTGTTGGGAAGCTCAGCTGTCCCCCGGCCTGAAAGTGGGTAGCTCGGGTCTGTCTCCCAGGGTGTCAGGCTTGCAGAAGGCCCTTCCTGCGGATGGGGGGCCTTAAAGGGCTCTTCTGCTATAAAAAGAGAAAAAGACGGGGCAGAGATATAGGAGGGAGGGGACTGTTCCTCCCAGGGGTCCGGGAACAGGCTTAGGGGCAAGCACGTGGTAGCGTTGGGAGACCCTAAGGCAGGAGGGATGTCTTGGACAAGGAGAGGAGCTCGGTAACCCCCTGGGCAGGGATTCAGTGCGCCAGCAGCTCCTACCTTAGTGCCCGGCCCATCGTCTCATAGTTCATGTCAGGCTTGTTTTTCTGCTTCCCCCACAGCTTGGACACGGCTTTGGAGTCCACCAGCTTAAAGATGCCTTTCTCTCGCTGGGTCCACTTGATGTACTTGGGGCAGGTATTCCTGTCTTGCAGAAGTGCAAGGAGGAACTCCCACAGATAGATGGTGCTGCCTGCGGAGGGGCACGTGGTGAGGGGTGGCCCGGGCCCCCCAGCCTCCCTCCCACCTCACCTGGCTCCCGGCCGCACCTTTGCCATCCTTAGATTTCTTCCGAATGGGGATGCTAGGGTCAGTGACTGGTGAGGTACTGCGGTTGCCCTTAGTCTTCCGGACTGTGAGGGGAAGGCAAGAAGAGGAGGAGGTGGAGACCGTGATGAGTGCTCCAGGGCTGACTCCCGAGACGGAGGGCCTCCGAGCAACTCGAGTAGGGTGCCAGGGCAGACAAGGAAGAGCTGGGTCACCAGTGCCAGAGGCCCATGATCATCCTCCACAACCACAGCCCTCAGGTCCCTGCACTTGCCCAATGGCCCACCCTCATTTTCAGGCCCCAAAGTTATACCAGAACACTACTGTGATGCGGGGAAATGAATGTAGTGCTTCCAAATGAGTCACCTTTAAAAGAACACAAATGGCCTTGCCTAATGTTTGAAATGAAAAGGCAGCCTCGGGGCGCCTGGATGGCTCAGTCGGTTAAGTGTCAGACTCTTGATTTCAGCTCAGGTCATGATCTCACGGTTCATGGGTTCCAGCGCTGCCCTCTTTCTGTCTCTCTCTCAACACCTCCCTTGCTCATGCTCTCTCTCTCTCTCAAAATAAATAAATAAACATTATTAAAAAAAAAAGAGAGAGAGAGAGAAAGAGAAAAGGCAGCCTAATGGGGCAGCTGTTGTGAAAGTAAGTGTGACGCTGAGGCTTTGATTCCCTCACTGACAAGGCAGTGGCAACCAGTCATTGCCTGAGGAAATCAATAACACCGGGGTTTGGGAAAGCCCAAAGTCCTCTCCCACATATGACCCCAGCTCCACAAGCTCGTAGACAGAAGATAAGCACACAGGCTGAGACCTCTTTTATAGGCAGAGGCCCGCAGATGGCCAGGGACTGGCCAGGGGGCCAAGTCTGGTGTCCGAACACCAAGATGAGGATTCAAACCATCTGGGATCGCTGGCATTTCTGGAAGAGTTTACATATATGCTGGGCCGACAGCAGTGGCATGGGAAATGTCAGGCCAACCGATGAGGCCACATTTTACAGAAGGAAGGATGTTTCATCCATCCCTGTCATATGAGAGCTGTCTTCTTAATGTGCCTATGAGCCTTGACCCACTCACCCCTTATAGTGTCCTGACCCCTTGAACACACACACACTGAGCCCCCTTGAACACAGACACACACACACACACACACACACGCGCGCGCGCGCGCGCGCGCACACTTCCCCTCCCCATCCCCCACCTCCGTCTCTCTTACTTCTCTTCTTTGATTTTCCAGTCTTCTTGGCACTTTCCTCTCTGGGGACCTTCTCCTCCAGACAGTGTCCCTCCTGGCCATCAGTGTCACCCGCCCTGTTCAGGGCATCAGGCTCAGAGACAGGAAACAGGTAGTTGGGCAGAGTGGCAGCTGGAGCAGGGTCTGAGTCAGGAAGCATTTCGGAGGTGCTGACTGCAAGGAGAGAGGCCTGACATGCCAGAGGCCCGGGGCAGGGTGGGAGTGTGGTCTCCCAGCACTGAAAAGAATGGTAGACTCCCAGGGAGGGCGAGGCACCATTCCCCGCAGCCCCAGATTCAGGATACACCTGAAAATGCCTCATGTGTCTCACACCATGAGGAGAGGAAACATCTGCAGGGCTGTGGGCATGAGCTGGCCCCAATCACGGCTGCCACATTTACAGCCACTGCTGGTAGTGGGGAAGTTCCAGGCGACACCCAGGGTAAAGGGCCACCTTGATTTAGTCATTTGCTTTTTTTATGACTGGAAGGTATCATTTAGCCCAACTCTTCTGTTTTCCTGATAAGGAAACTGAGATCCAGAGATGGCAGGGCATGTGTCCAAGGTCACACAGCAAGCTGGTGCCTCGTACATGCGGGCATTCGGTAAGTATCTGCTGAAGCCTGAGGGTATATTAGTGACAGGGTGGGCAACAGAAATGCTAGGACGCTTAATTTACACCTTCAGGCTTTCTTTCCCCCACTGGATCCCAGCATCTGCTTGGGAAGGGGCAGTTAGGGCCAGGAGTCCTCCTGTCCAGGAGTCATGCAAAGGCCTAAGGGGGAACTGGAGGAGGAGCCTGCCTTGGGGGCCTTCTGGGGAGGTAGGGGCCAGCCTCCAAGAATAAGGAAGACAGGAGGGGATTTCAAGCCTGGTGCATTTCTAAATAAGCCACACCCAGCACAGTCTTCCTGGGAGCTGGGCCAGAGAGCTGAGGGGACTGAAGAGTCACTCGGGCCAATCATAGTCACCCTTAAAAAGGAAGGAAATTCTGACATACACCACAACATGGACAGACCTTGAGGTCATTATGTTAAGTAAAATAAGCCAGTCCCCAAAGACCATGACTTTGTGACTGCGCTTGTGTGAGGTCCCTAGAGTCGTGCAATTCATAGTGGCAGAAAGTAGAGTGGTAGCTGCTACTTTCTGAGGGCTGAGGGGAAGGGGGCAATGAAGAGTTAGTGTTTAACGGGCACAGAGTTTCAGGTTTGCAGGATGAAGGTTCTGGAGATGACGGTGGTGAGGAACGCACAATACAAATGTACTTCGTACCACTGACCTGTACACTGAGAAATGGTTAAGGTGGTCAATTCTACATTATGAGTATTTTAACACGATTTAAACATTGGAGAAAAGAAGTCACCCTGGCCAAGTTTTCCTTGCCTAGGGTGCCCTCCTGTCCCCTCTGTTCTCGCCACAGCTCAAGAGCACGTTTATATGTGTGGCCGTGGCTGTGGGTATGTGTGCCGTGTGCACGTGTGCCTGGCCATCCAGTACGTGGATATAGTTGTTTTCAGTGGCATTTTTTTGTCACCTTGAGTTAAGCCACCAGGGTTCAAACTTACAGATCTTCGGGGCGTCTGGGTGGCTCAGTCAGTTAAGCGTCTGACTTCAGCTCAGGTCATGATCTCACAGTCCGTGGGTTCGAGCCCCGCATCAGGCTCCGTGCTGACAGCTCAGAGCCTGGTGCCTGCTTCAGATTCTGTGTCTCCCTCTCTCTCTGCCCCTCCCCCGCTCCCTCTCTGTCTCTGTCTCTCAAAATAAAATAAAAGACATTAAAAAAAAAAAAACTTACAGATCTGCTTCTCATCCAGGATGTCGTTGGGAGACTCAACGTTGAGCAAGACTTCAGTGGTTGACATGGTTTGTGAGGTTGCTTCATTGTCATCTGGTTCCAGGTTCCATGATGTGGGGTTGACAGAGGGTGTGGGGCAGGAAAAAAAGTTCCCTCAGGGCACAGGGCAGAGGTAGAGCAGTCATCAGGGCCAGCCCAGAAAATGGCGCTAAGAGGCCAAGGAACACTGGGAAGGGGATGGTGTGCCACCTACTGTAACTCTCCACCTTTTCTCTACACTCACCTCAGCTGGTCTCCACTCTTCCTCATCCCATTCCATCTTGAGAGATCACGGTTCCATTTAGGTGGTTTCCTCCTCTATGAAGTGGTACTACCTTTTGCTTGTCCTAACTGCCCCATCTAATTTCCAACTCTTGCAGGCCTTGCCCTTGCTGCGTAAGGTCACTAGGAGCCATTGTAGGCTATGATTCCCTGAAGACAGAACCACTTTCTCTTCTATATCTTCCCTACCCAGGAAGGAAACAAACCTGCCAGCAAAATACTGCCCTCCAGGATCTGATCCTGTGCCATGCACAAGGTCCCGTCTGTTATGATACCATTGTGAGCGTCGTCCAGCTCCAGTCCTGAGTACAGATGCAGTAATTCGGGGTAGGGTACCTGTTCCACGATCACAGCTGGGAACACCGAGGGGTCTTCCAGCTATGGACAAGATAGGAGTCTGGTTTAAGGCTTGCCTGCCTCTACCAGGAAGCCCTGCCTACCAGAATCTGGCCTTTCTTGAATTCCTAATTCTTAGAACCCTCAGGGCTGTCCTTTGCAGGATGACATTGTTCTGTGTCCAACCTCACTAGGTGATGCTTTGAGTGGATTCTTGATTAACAGAAATGGGCTATCTCTGTACCACCTGCACTCAATCAAGGGCAAACAGGTTTTTTTTTTTTTAATTTAAATGTTTATTTATTTATTTTGAGAGAGACAGAGCTGGAGAGGAGCAGAGAGAATTCCAAGCAGGCTCCGCACTTTCAGTGCAGAGCCCAACATGGGACTCGATCTCATGAACCGTGAGACCATGACCTGAGATGAAATCAAGAGCTGGATGCTCAACTGACTGAGCCCCCCAGGCACACCCAGGACACACAGTTTTAACTGGTTTAGTTCTGGGTTAATCCTTGGCCAGGGTTAGTGCTCAGTCTGTGAGAAGGGTTAGGCTCATTCTCAGGCCAGTGGGAAAGCATTAGTCAATGGCAAGAGTGAGGGACTCAGCCCTCAGTCAGGGTTGAGTATCCAGGATTAGGGGCTCAAATTATGGACATCTTAGGGCTCAGTCTCTAGGAATAAAGACAGAAGAACAAAGGCATTATATAGGTAAGAGGTTAGAGCCCAGTCCCTGTCAGGGTCGGGGAGAAGGTTCCAGTTTCCAGCTTGATTCCCTGGGTGCACGAGGATACTGTTAATTTGAAAGGGGGACCCAGGAGAAGGAGAAACAGGTTTTTGGAGAAAGAGAAGAGGAAGAGTGTCTGGTCTGGATATGGTACCTTTGAGATATTTAACATGGAGATACCTATCAGAGGGTAAAAAATATGTGTCCAAAGGCTCAAAAGAGTGGTTGCTAAATCCCTTAGAGTGGATACAATCATCAGGATGAGAATTTGACTTCTGGGGGACATAGTTGTTCTAAAATCAAACAAAGCTAAATGAAAAAGGAGTGTGATTGCAACTGTCTTTTTAAAAATTATGTATAGAAGGAATCATACCAGAATGATTATAATAATTATATTTTTATTGTGGGACTTTGAGTGACTCTTCTTTTTCTTTCAAATTTTCTGCATTTTCCAAATTTTCTTTCATGAGACTTAATTCTACCTTCATGAAAAAAGAATGAGAATGCTCAGTTCTGCCTAATGTTCCTGAAGGATCTAGAAAAATAAAAATTGATAAAAACGACTTTGGGTTTGGCTACTGGGCAGTGACCCTGGCTAGAGCACTCTCAAGGGAGTGCTGGGGCCCCAAGGCACATTATAACAGATCTCAGGACGAACTGAGGTAGGCAGTCGGGTATCAGGATGAAGGCCATGGAGTTCAGAGCTGTCTGTCCAATATGGTACCCACTAGCCATGGGTGACTATTTAAATGTAAATGCAAAATATGTTTAAGATTAAAAGTTCAAGGGCACCTGGGTGGCTTAGTCGGTTAAGTGTCCAGCTTTGACTTCGGCTCAGGTCATGATCTTACGGGGTTCATGAGTTTGAGCCTTACATTGGACTCTGTGCTGTCAGCACAAAGCCTGCTTCACTTTGAATTCTCTGTCCCCCACTTCTCTGCTCCTCTCCTGTGTGCACGTGCACCACCCCCTCTCAAAAATAAATAAACATAAAAAAAGAATATCACCTTGAAAATAAGTTCAGTCCTTTAGTTGTAATAGCCATAGTTCAAGTGCTCCATAGCCACATGTGACTACTGGTCCAATACTGAACAGGGCAAATATAGAACACTTCTATAAAAATTCCACTGGATTGTCCGGATCTAGAACCAGACTCCCTGGGTTTGAAACCAAGCTCGGCTACTTAGTTGCAGTGGGACCTTGGGCAAGGCACCTAATCTTGCTGTGCATCGGTTTCCTCTTTTATAAAATTGGGGTGGTCATATTAAACAACCCCATTGAGTGATTTAAACAGATCAATGTGCATAAAGCATGTGCATCAGGGCCCGGTATAGAGTAGGCTCTCATTAAGTGTTTTAGGCATCAGGGACTTCTAGGAGACTAGTAATGCTTTATTTCTTCACATGGCTGGTGAGTTCATGAGTGTTCTTTTTATAGTTATTCCATATATATATATATGTATGTATGTATTATTTGTGCACTCTTTTGTATTAAAGATACATTTTTCAATAAAAATTGTTTCCTAAAAAGAGGGAACGAAAGGAGGTAAGAAAATAAGCACAGAGGGTGGAGACTATACTAATGAGCAGAAAGGAGCTAAGAAGATGGTACTTTGAAGTAGGTGAGTTGAAGGGAGAGAAGGGTTTCTTTCAGCATTGGAGAGACCCGAAGATGTTCTAGTTTGAAGAGATGGGTCTGGAAAGATTTAAGAGAGACACGTTGGAGGTGACCAATGGTTTGAGGTCTTGGAGGCAGGAGAGAAGAGATTAAGTATGGGTACCAGATAGCCCTGGAAGGAAGAGGGACACTTCTTTCTCCTGGGCCAGCAGGAAGGAAACAAGAATGGTGATGTTATCAATAAAAGGGAGAAGGGAGGGAAACTGAGTGTGTCCTTGGCTTTGAACTTCTCTGTGGATTGGAGGAGAAGCTGTCTGCTGAGGGTGGAGGGGCAGGTGTTGGATTGGGAGGGAAGAACAGCCTCCATGAAGAACAATAACGTGGGTCACTCAGTTGGTCAAGCATCCAACTCTTGATTTTGGCTCAGGTCATGATCTCACGGTTCATAAGTTCGAGCCCCCCATCAGGCTCTGTGCTGATAGTTTGGAGCCTGCTTGGGATTTTCTCTTTCTCCCTCACTCTCTCTGCCCCTCCCCAGCTCATGTTCACTCAACTCTCTCTTTCTCAAAATAAATAAATAAACATTTTAAAGAAGAAGAACAGTAACAGTTGCTGAGCAGACCAGAAACAAGCAAAAAATGACTAGTAGTATTGATAACTCAGGTATGGTTAGAGTTTTCTCCCCTTCTCATTCCATGATGCCTTCCATGAGACGAGGCTAGGCACACCACAGGTGTTGCATAAAACTGAGCAACTTTAAGTTAAGACACAGCGGGACAGAAAGGACAATGTGCTCAAAGTCCACTAGGGGGCAGCCTTTGGTAGGCCGCCAGAGGTTGGACACCGTTTTCTATCCTCACAAGCATTTAGCATAGAGAGCATCAGTGTTAGGCTGCGGTGCCCTTAGAGACAATCCAACTGGATCTCCTCTTGGTGAAGATGGGGAGATGGCAGCCAGATAAGGTAGAGGACAGGACTTGCCCACGTTACACTGTGGCCAAACTGGGATGGGAACCCAAGACCCTTGACTCTTAATCTTCTGTTTCTTCTACTGTACCTGGCTGCCTCTCCCCCAGTTTGTAGAAGGAGAGGAGTAGAGGGTAGCAATGGGTGTGCCAGGACACCCTCCAATGAGTACAGCTAAGTTCATGGAAAAAGTGCTCCCTTAGCCCCAGTACAGAGCAAGAATATGGAGCAGTGGGGACCTAAGCATCGGAATTCGGTCTATTTTCAAGTCTCCCCCACCAGAAAACCCCATTTCCAGATCTGAATCCTCAGACTAAGGCTGAAAAGATGGTTATGGGAGGGCCCATCGGCCATACTAGAGATGGGAGTGTGAAGGGGGGAGGGGTTGGTCTTTGCCCATGGGTCCAGGTGGCAGTGCTTACCCTTGCTATGTGGTTGTCCCAGCAGCTTTCTCATTGTGACACTGTGGTTTAAGGGAAGGGGACAGGAATGCACATGAGGGCCCAGGTACACCCGTGCATTCAGCCCATATTGCTGACTGACTGACACCATGCTGACCGCATGGTGGCTGCACATGACCCAGAACTGCACACGGGCACCCGGCTCACGAAATGACCACCCATTGACTACTGACTGGCCACATGAGTGACGAGCTGGTGCACAATCTGGCTGGCATGCAGGCCCAGTGGCCTGGACCTAGTAGGTGTTTGAGCAACGTTTGCTGACTGGTTAGCTGGGCGGCTGGCTGACTTGCCCTCTGCCTGCCTGTTTGTGTCTATCTGATTGTCTGCCTCGGTGACTGGGCTCTGTTCTCTGGGGCCATACCTGGTGGATATCATCCATCCCGTTGCTTGCAAACTCAAAGATCAGGTCACTGGGCTGTAGGGTAATAGCCATGGTGTTTTCTCAGAGAGCCGACAGCAGCATTCGCTGGGCCCTCTGGAGCTGTGGGGTTTTCTTGATGAAGAGACGCTGTTCAGGTACCTTGGAGCTTAGAGCCTACAGCCCAAACTACGGTAAGATAGGGGGTGTAGAGAGCTGGAGTAGGTGGTGGCCTAAGCCAGGTTCAAGGCTGCATGCTGGGTTGGGTCAATCGCAGGAGTGACCTGTGGAGAAAGGAGACACAGGCAATGAATAAGTCAGCTTCCTTGAGATTTGTTCCCACGATGGCTGTTCAACCAGAGGGACCAAGGGGGCTTGCCCGAAGCAGAGGACAATGGGAGAAGAAAGGGGAAGAAGAAAAGAGGCAGGTAAAAAATGAAGGAAAAAGATAAAGTTAAGGGAGTTACCTCCAGTGGGAAGTGGCTGAGCCTGTGTCAATCTAGGTCACCAGCATCTGCACCTGAACTGGCCTTGAAGCTATGCAGCCTCTCTCCCTTCTCTCCTGCCTCCTCTGGAGAAGGTGACAGATAGAGGGACTTTGGGCTCTCTCTACCCTGAAGATTAATCCCCAGGGTGTGGCCACAGGGGAAATCAGGGCACCCCATCTGGCCTTATAGATGGAGCAGCAGTATGAAACATCCTTAAAAACCTCTTGGCTTGGAAAGAATCGTGTGTGCAGGGGGAGAGGGGTACAGGTAGGGACACATGGCTGTGCCGGGTGCTCTTCTAGACTCTGCCTGGCTCGGTCTACCTTGAAAGTGGAGCACTTAGCTCAGAAGGGCAGAGTCTAGAGAGGAAGAAACATCTCTCCGTGGGGGTTGTGTTGTCAGAGCCAGCAGCTCTCTGGGAGGGGACTCTCGGCCTCAGCCACGCCCCCGATAGCCCTGATACAGGGGAACAGGTGGGGCACATGCCCTGCACACTTATTGCTGCCCCGACACCACCGCCATCCGCTGGAGAGGATGGCTTCTGAGCCTCGGGTGGGTCCCTGCTCTTGCTTCAGCTTTGCTTTCAGTTTCAAGACTGAACTGTCACCCTGGGAACTCTTGAGGAGAGCCCCAGCTTGGGGAGGGGCCCACAGAGCCTTCCCCATCCTGGGAGGCCAGCTCAGGGCCTCCCTCACTTTTCCAGGAAACCTGTCTGCTGCAACCCACACATCCCTCCTCTGCCAGGTGCCTCCGGAGCTCACCGAATGCACCTCAGGCACACACAAGGCACGCTGGGCCTCCAATTGTCTCCCATGCTTGCTGCTCTTCTACGTGTTGTCTGCAGCAGCAGGGACAACCCTGAGGCCTACCTCCCAAAGCCTAGCTCCCGCTGCCATGGCCCCCAGCTAGCCTGCTCTGCTCCTCCGCTCCCGAACATGCGGGCTTTTCCACCTCCAGGTACCACATCTTTGACCCTTCTGGTTGGTTTTCATGGTACCCTTGTGTGTGCATACACGCAGTGGGTCTACGAACAGCCCGGTTCAACCAGGAGCCCCTGAAGAACTGGGTCCACACACCACAGTCCTAGCGACACATTTGATTCCTACCTCCTTGACACACCTTTGCCAGTGCAAGGGTGGCAGAACCTTCTCCTGGCCCAGAAAGAAATGAGGAACTTCGGAGAGGGGCAAAGGGGAGGAAAGGGAGGAGGACCATGGGTGACCTCTCTGATGACCGCTCTCCCCCACAGGAGACACCCAGGCCTCTCCCACTTCCTTTCCGTTAGCCCACAGGGTTGGCTCCGCCCACTCCCCACCCCCACTCCTACCCCCGAACCTTTCCACCCACCCCTAACAAAAACCTTTGAGAAGTCACTCAACTCAACCTGGCAGGTCTGAGTTTCCCTTTGGGTGAGGGAGACAGCCCTTCTAGGATGAAGAGGAGGCCCTGGGGAAAATATGGTCTCGGCCCGAGTTCCACCCCTTCCGCCCCCACCCTGCCCCCACCGGGCCCTGCCTGTGACCCTGTCTCCAGTGGCCCGCCTGAGAAGCCTCCCAGGGCCATTTATGCTTGGAAGGTCTGTCTCCTGTAGCCAAAGCGCCCCAAGGCCCGCATTCCACAGCTCCCCGCCCTCCCTCAGGCCAGCTGTCTGCCCCCAGGAAGCATTCTCATACTAATCAAATGAAAGGGATCACTTTCACCTAATCCCACTTTGTCTAAACATGAAACTCTGGTGTCTGCTCCCTCTCCCCCCCAACAAGGTCATTCCCCGGCAGCCCTTCTCTTCAGGTTTGCTCATCTCTTTGGCCTCTCTTGACAGATCAGCACTTCTTGTTCACTGCTGCTCGCTGCCTCTGCGGACCTGGCCTGCGCCTTCCTCACCTCCCCCATTAGGCAGTGACTTCCTTGAGGGCAGGGGCAACTGTCTTGGTCATCAGTGAAACGTTACCATGCTGCACTGTGCTTGGCATGTAGCGGACACTCAATTTATGTTTGCAGAACAAACACATGAATGAATTAATGAATGAGCGAATGAATGAATGATACTGGTCAGTCAGTACCAGTGAGATGTGTTTTCTGGGTAGAAGTATATCTGTGCGTACATTGTTTTTGGAATGAGTGTTGTGTACTCTGACTTTTGAGAGAGAGAGGGAGAGAGAGATGTGTGCTCTGTGTCTGTGTTACATCTGTGTGTTTCTGCACTGTAATTTACAACGGGAGTTTTCACTGTGGATGTGCACACGCACTATGGATTTACTTGTGTGCGGTGTGCATGCACATGTCCCAAGTGTGGGGATGTGTGCATGAGACCCTCTATGGGCCAGCAGAGCCACAAGCTCAGTGGTGGGTTCCCCCTCCTCCAGTCCCGCCTATCACAGAATGACAATGACAGACAGGAGCTACTGCTGCCACCACTGCCGCTTCTCAGGAAGACAATGCTAGCAGAGAATATGTATGTGGCTCATGGGTTCTTGGGGTGAGCCCCCCAAGGTCCACTCTGCTACGGATGTGGTGGGAGAGACAAGGCAGCACCGCATTGTACTGGATGGGATCCTTGGGCATCTGTGCAGAGAGGTTTGAAAGAAGAGACTAATGTAATTGCACTCTTTAAGTATCAATACATATAACTATCTAAATTCAGGGTTGGGTTGGTGCAGGTTCTGCTGACCCAGGAATGTGAGAATTTCAAGGCTGTGGCACCCAGCACCCAAGGCTGATCCTGGTGTCTTATTCTGCCCAAGCTGCGACATAAAGCAAGTAAGGTGAAGGGGTGTGGAGGAAGTAGCTGTCCTACTCTTTTGGCCAAGGCTAAGAAAACTCCCTTCCCAGCCACACCATGAAACCTTCCAGTCCATAAAGTTTTGCCCCTGTCCCCTCAGATGTTTGAGGATTTGAAAGTGAGAGGTGGGGAGAGGCTTATTTGCATGCTCACTCACTCTCCCCAGCAGAGGAGTGTACCCCCCCCCACAAGTCCCTCAAAATAACCTCCCTCTCCCAGGAACCTGAAACCAAAAAAAAAAAAAAAAACCACCACAGAAGGCCCGCCCTGCTGGAGGCCAAGGAGGCCTGAGAGGCCCACACCGGGGGCTCTCCTCTCTGGTGTCCTTTCAGAAACACTGAGGCCCAGCTCCAGGGGCCTAGAGCCCTGGATGCTGCCTTGATGGTGAGTGGGGCGCGAGGTGTGTATGCACAGACATCCGGCTTGAGCCAGAGACAGGCCTGGGAGGTTCCCCCCCCACTCCCCCCCACCCCCCCACTCCCCCGTCATCGTACAGATCACAGCTGGCTCCAGTCAGAGTCTGCTCCCAGGGTGGCGAGACCTCCACTCCCTTCACTCCCCTGGAGGCCACTGCAGGATCCCTTGCTCCCAGGGCCTTGTCCTACTTGCACTGGAAGCAAAGCGTCTGGAGAGCATATGGCTCTGGACACCATGTGTGTGAGTGAGCGAGCGAGCGAGCGAGCATGTGCCACAGGAGGGAGCAAGGAAGCCAGGCCGTCTACATCCCCAGCCTGCAAATGCACACCTCTGGTTCACTGTGGTTCTGACTGCATTTCAAAACCAAAATAGCAAAATAGAAGTGGTTTGGGCTGCTTCTGCGTCATCACAGCTGGGCCCCCTTCAGAAGTACAGACCCTTTCTGGGGCTGTCACTGGAGCGTGTCAAGCGGTGTCCAGCACCCACCCATCTGGGCCTCCTCTGCATACAGGAAGCAGCCCCTCTGTGAAAGCCACATCCACAGTCTCCGTGGAGTGAGTTTAAATCTACACCCGTTCAGCCACCAGCTCTGACAAAATCGCTACTAACACCCATGGCATTTTCACGCACGCCAGGAAACATGGGGGCCAGATGGTCAGCCAGGCCACAAAGCAGAGTTCTCCTTCTCCAGTTCCTCATCCTCTCGGAGCCAGCCCTCCACTCCTGACATACCCAGTCCTCCATGAAACCTTTCTGGAATTCTCTGGAAAGGAAGTGACAATTTCCTTCATGCCATTTCCCACTCCCTCAACGCCCCTCCCCCACAACCACAAACAAAATGGAAACTACCCCAGAAACAGCTGTACCCTCTACTTCAAAACAGCCCCTCCTCTGGCTAATAGTCATCCAGAAGCAAATTTGCATGCTGCACCACGTGACCACTAGTGTGTATTTAAGAGACAGAGGGCCAGAGCTAGGGGTCCTGTCTGTAGCTTTGGACAGAGCCAAAGTAACTGATCTGTGGGACCCCCCACAACCTTGACCCTGGTCTGTGAGCCAAACCCTTCTCCTTGAGCAAATGCGCAGTGAAGGGGCCCCAGCCACAAGTATTTTGTCAGCTCTTTCTCCTCTATTCCTTTCTTTTCACCACCCCCTCCATTCAAGATGAAATCAGGAAGAGGGAGGAAAAACATAAAGGTTTTGCAAGCTCTGTTGGTTGGGGTTTCTCTTTGCTTATTTACAAGAAACCCAGTTTCCTTCCTTGGCCCTCGGTCACTGCCTGCTTCCAGTGTACGGCTTGCTACAACTCCGATGATGAGGGAGGCCCAGAGCTCATCTCCAACTGCTCCACTCTTGACTGTACCTTCTCAGGCCCTGAGCTGTCCCAGTGGAGGGGTGATTAGGGCTGCAGGAAGTGGCAGGTCCCCTCTTTCTCCAGGAGACCCGTAAGCTCACTCATGGTTTGTTACATCCAGGTTGAGGCCCTGGAAAAGGCAGCCATCTTTCTGGGCTGTGGTTTCTGTCATCCTTATAGAGGGGGAGGGCTGAGGGTAATCCAGGTTTAGCAGATGCTCACAGGGGAGTCTCCGGTGAATGAAGA